TATTATTGTACATTTCTGCGTGGTAAGTAAGAATTAAGGGCCAGTTTCACAATATCTGGATAGCATAGTACGGTACTACATACGTCGTTGTGTGCTCTATGATTATTTAGACATCACTGACAAACGGTGAACGAAAACATCGTGTGGAAACCTGGACTTATAATTTCTAAATATAAGTTTGAAATCGCCAATCCGCCTTGAGCATGGTGATTAATGCTCTTGTGAGAAGAGGCCTATGCTCCGCAGTAAACACTTATAGGCTGATGATGTACCACATTAAGTACTTACCGAACTATTTGTATGAACACTCACATCTTGTTTTGCGATCTTGTCCAAACATCCTTTGCATTATAAGTAAACAATGCCGAAACTATAATGAAAGCCATTGTTACGTTATTATTTTGATGTTGATTGTTATTGTCTGTTCATTCACAGTTTATAGTAATCGGTTACAGGGTAATTTTCATAAACAAAAATGCAGTTAAAGACAAGCTAACAATAAAATTTCACGGTGTTTTGGTTTATACTACTTATGTATTTTAAATACATAATACCATCCTAACTCCTAGCCTGCAGGCTACAACGTGACCTCGCAGCCCCGTGGGGCCAGTTCGGTGGGCTGTGCGTGCGCCGCGTGTATCTTCACACACGTTTCGGCCTTAGCCCTGTGTTTTGCTCATTTTAGACAGCTTTATTTATACAAAGTAAAAATATACGTCACCGTACATTTTAATTCTTAAATTACTAGCTCCTAGAGTGCGCCTTTGAACATGACCTAAAGATAAATCCACAACAAAACATTAAGCAGACTGGTGTCGATCCAGCACTTCGTGGTTAGCAGTCACGCTTCAGACAACAAGATAAACGAAGCGGGAATATAAAACAAATAAGTTTAAAAATAAAAGAGAGATTTTGATCTTTTGAGGCTTTTTTGCGATTAGTCATCATCATACACGTCAACAAAGCAGTGGTCAGGCATTAGCATTAATTCATTCTTATTTAATATTCAGTTTTATTATTCAGTAGCTAACTGTAAGAAACTTCGGTGTATTTAAATGTAGAGCACGTGTCCGGCGACTAAAACACGCGCCTGTAGTGGAGTTTTTTTTTACAGCTACAGAGCAACACGGGTGTCGTATTAAAGAAAGTGATTGAATACAATCTAATTAGTAAGACACGTGCAGACACCTCGTAGCGACATAAGTCTTAGCAACATTGTGACTTATGACATCGATTCTAATTCATCTGGATGTGGGAGATCCTTGCTTCGGCACGAAAGTGTTGTTTTGACAAAAGTGATACCACGGCCTCAAAGAATACCGGCGTGAAAAAACCTTACGTTGTGTTTAGCAGTGTGAGTGACGTTACCGGAAGCACAATAATTCCTCTCCAAATTCCCATCCTTAATCTTAAAATCTAATACCTAAGTATACCCTATCCTTAAGTACCTATCAATAATAACCCAACAATGCACTTGTACCGCAAAAAAGTAAAGTGACTCTTATAGTATTGCGAGGGTCCATGAGAGCCAATTACTTATCATCGGGTAATCCCTCAGCTCATTTGCCAAGAAAAAGTAATCTGGAAATAATCTATATTTAAATGACGGGATCATGGCAACTATACTTAGTCTTCCAATGGGACCATCCACATTTTTTGAAACAAAATAAATTTATTATTATATATATATTAGAACCATTCCCAATCATGTTTTTATGATATGGATAATACTAAATATTTCAACTATCAAATTAAATGTAAGTAGGCAAACTTTGATTTAATATCTACGCATATCACGAATCAAGTTTGTTAAATTGTCACTATACAATATATCCAAAGATACAAGTAACGATTAGTGCTCATGCCCCGTGAAATTACCCGACAAATCATTGTCGCGGCCCTGACTCACAGCGCTCATGAATAACCACAATACGTCACTATCGGTATATTATACTCGACATTCATATAATATGTTGCAGGGACAACAGGGAATTGCACAGGGAAACTTATTTCCCGAAATAAGTATTGGAAGCAACAAGGAAATTAGGTACATTTCCTCTCATCGATCCGCACAATTTTCACGTTTAGTGTGCTCTATTTCATAACTCGTTATATGGTATGAACTGAAAGTGAGATCGCCATCTGACCTCAGACTGAGAGTGAATTTAGTAAGGTTTGTATATACCAGAAATCATGTTCCATTAAAAAATAAGTGAGATGGAGTGAAACAAATAAATTACAAAAACAAGTTCCATTTTGTTCCTACTCTCTGATGTAGGAACTTAATGTTATGAAACAACAATCAAAACATAATTAACTAGGTTTGCACTTATGTATACCTACTTACGTAGGTTTTATTAAGGTGCATTAACGTTTTTAAGCTTTTATAGGTACGTTATACTAATTATCCCAATAACTTGACCACTTGAGTATATCTAAAACATTAAAATCAATATAAGTACTATCGTAAATTACTAAAGTGCTTATTACCGCAGTCTGTCAGTTTACTGAATTGACACGAAGGTTTCTAAATCATTTGCATTGTACTTAAGCAAGTTAGAATGATTTCTAGCATTGTGCTTGCAGTCTGCAGCGGTAACACGGTACTGATTGGCTCATACTAAATAAGTGGGCTAATGAAGACGTTCGATTATAATTAACTGTTATCGTATCGTATATCGATCCGCCCCGCATACGAACCGATTAACTCGTCCATTAAGTAAATTATAGTACTGAACCTATTCGTTACCAAGTTATTTAATTGTCGATTTTATATCTCCCTTTTTTTTAAGGGGGATAGGAGAGGAGTATCAGACTCTTACTGCCTAAAAACCACTCTATTCCTGCTCTTGTTCTAGGTCAAGGTCGATGTACCTACCTCATTTCGATTGCCCTGCAACCACGGCTAAGTGTCAGATACTTAACGACTAACATGGCTTTTTGAAGCTCGTGCGGAACGCCCAACCCGTATGTAGGGTTTGTTTCTGGTCGGGGGTTGTTCGGGCGACGCGACGGTTACTCTTGTTCGCCGTCCGCAGACCTGCGATTACCGGAGGTCTAAGATCCCTGCTGTGGCCTCTCGGACGTGAGAAGGAAGAATCTTTCTGTGATGCTTCACAGAAAGAGGAGACGGCGTCCCAGTTTCTCTTACTCCGCACCATGGCCTCGACTAAGGCCGGGCGCGAGAGGTGACATCACCGTGCACCTCTATGATACCAAAAGTACAATTTCTTAGGAAGAGGTTCCTTGTATCACGCAATGAGACTGAAGTTGGCCCATCCAGAAGTTGTTGTTCAAATACTAGCAACCACTACAGATCAGGCGTCTTACATTTAAAATTACTTGCGAGAGTAAAAGAAATTACTTGTTATGGTATCACATATAAATATTAACGCAGATTCCTACTTAGATGTGGATAATGAATTCTGTAAGTAACACGATATCGTCCGTGACAGCTGCGCGTGAGCATTGCGGCCGTTCGTCACACTCCCATTGCGTACGCGCACTCGCGCACCCATTCCATCACTAAGCACGGCTACTTGGAAATTAGATAGCATTATACTTTTTATTAGGCATTCAAAGCAATTAAGTAAATATACATTTTCCGAGTAAACAGCTTTGGTTTCTTAACAAGCTACATAGGCAGCACGTGAAAGAAAGTTAATATCTCAAAATGTCTTCAGACTTTCACTGTCTTAACGATAACGCATTAATTAAAGATCCTCAATTTCGTAGTTATTTTGTCAAATTAGTTTTTGTGGATCTAAAATTGATAACATCAGGACATGTTGGTTTAAAGGTTTATTACCCCACTTTTATGTGGGAGAAACATCAAATGTCTTCTGTCGCTCTGAGTGAGATGAGGTACCTCTCATTTCGTGTCAGACTCTCACACCCTAAAAAACCATCCGCCGAAGCTGTGGTTCATAATAGTGATTGAGCCACAAGCCACAACCTCGGCTGAATTTCCCTGTATACTAAAAATACCAACATGTCGCATATTGTATTTCAAAATTTTCAGTCGACCACATCATCATCAGACATGTCATGCTGGACAAAGGCCTCCTTCATCGAGCACATCGTTCTCGTCGTATTCCTCATTGCTGAGTACTTATTGTCGCACTCTGCCTTCCTCCATCCAATTTCGTCGCTGGCGGTGCTGAGAAAATTGTGGATAGTAGAACTCTAACCGAAGTGTTCGAGGACTCTGCGCAAGTACTCGTCAAGCCAAGGACCCATAAATTAATTAAAGCAAACACCTTCCCCCCTCTACGCATATATGTACATATCAGTAGGTACGTTCACAATATTTCCGACAGTTAGTCTGCTGTAAAAATAATAAATGTTAATAGTTGCAAGATGCCGAGAACAGATACATACTAATAAGAAATCACAAATATCTGCATGATCGATTAACTTTCTCGTTCATTCATATTAACTGCCATGTTTTTATTTTACTATTTATTGTAAATTCCTCGTGGGAAGGCTTGTGGAATCAGTCTTAGGTGAGAGTGCTGTTAACATACGAACGCATATAAGAACAGGGATCTGGATAATCTCGCCGACCGTGAACTAATACGCAACTTAAGACGTTGCTTTGCTATATACAGTACCGGCTCAGTATGTATATGAAATAAATTAGAAATAATTCCAATATAACGCATTACACAATCTCACAGGTAGGAAAGACTTTTCAAATGATCAAGTTGCTAATTCTTCTTCGCTCCGCTGCGTTTTATTTTATGGAATAGGAGGCAAACGAGCAGACGGATCACCTGATGGTAAGCGATCGGCGCCGCCCATGGAGGAGTCACAGGTGCGTTGCCAGATTGCTTGATGAGACAAGATTCAACCTGCTTATAGGTGTTATGAAATCTAGCAATTTGCTTTAAATGCATGTTAAAACGAGAAATACTAAAAACTAATTATTGAGATTAGAAAAGAACGTGACGTTATGACAACAATATTTAAAATAAAACTTCAAATCATGAATACTTATATTACTTTTCCGTTTTTATTTTTTTATAAGGATCGTATTCATCTTGGACATTAGAGTCATCATAGTACCGCCTATGACCTGTCCTATCTCTGTATAACTCGTCATCACAATTCTCGTGGTTATCTCTCGATGTAACACTATCCGCTCTTTCTTGCTTAATTTGTATTCTATCACCTGCTTCCTGCCTATAATCTTGTGTTTTCTCCCTATGTCGACTACCACTATCGCCATAATGTCTCGACTTATGTTTGTCCGTACGCCTACGATCTTTATCTTTATGTTTATCATCTCTTTTCTCTTCATGTTTCCTATCATGACCGTGTGATTCATCATCTAACCTTGATTCCTTTCTTTTCTTACTTTCAACGACGTGATCATCGTGTCTATGACTTCTTTTATGTCTTCTTTCAGTTCTGTGTTCTCTATCATCATAATAGTTTTGTCGCCTTTCTTTCGTTTTATCTCTGTTATAAATATACTCCTCATAATCGCAACCATCTTTCCTCTTTCGGGAATACTCTCCATACTTGCCTTGGTCATTCTCTTCATAATACCTTCTTTCTCTGTGATTGTGACCTTGTCTGCCACTTCTATCGCGCTCATCTATACTGTTAATTTCATCTCTTTGCTTTTTAGTACTTTCTGTAATCCTCTCTGTCTCGTCTCTTTCGGTTTTAACTTCTACTTTTATAGGTCTAGGTACTGAGTCAAAATCTTGGCTAGAATATCTCCTTTCGACGCTTCTGAATCTTTCTGTTGAATCTTCTCTTTCAGTTTTAATTATTTCTTTAATGGGTTTCGGAACAGTCTCTTCATTATGTGTGTATCTGTTTTCATCTAAACTTTCAGAGACCCGTTTCGAATGTCTATTTTCAGAGTTTCTATCTCTTTCTCTCGAACCTTCTTTTTCTGTTTTGACTTCCGTTTTGATTGGTCGAGGTACCCACTTTTTGGGACGCTCGTGTCTATGTCTAGCCTCGTATTTAGAGTAACGCCGTGAATGTTCAGTTTTATCAGTTTCTGCGTCCCAATCAGTAAAATCTTCTCTTTCTGTCTTTATTTCTTCTTGGATGGGTCTAGGAACCCACTTCTTGCGATCTTTTTGATATCTTTCGATGTCGTTTGAGTCTTGCCTCGGCCGCCTTTTGTTTACTATTCTGTCTCTCTCTACGTATTCTTCCCTTTCACTTTTAACTTGTATTGGTCTCGGAACCCATTTTTTAGATTCATTTCTATCAACAATGCGGGAATCACAACTGTCTCTGTCAACATTATGTGAGGTATATCTAATCCTGTCATCATTTTGTGAGTGATGTCTATTTCTGTTTCCATTATATGAGTCTGTTCCAGAATATTGACTCCCATTATTAATATCTCTACAACTGTTCATTCGATCAACCGTTTCGTTTGTAGTAGTTTCTTCAGTTTTCCCATCATTGTAGACTTCCATCTATAAAAAACAAAGGTAAAATGTAAAAAACAAAGGAAAACATTTTTTTTTATATTTCAGACCAAATTTTTATTCAATGTTTTTATGATACAACATACAAAAATACATACAATCCTCAATTTTCACCCTTCTGTGATCAACCCTTATTTTTTAAATGGCAGAAAGCGTCAGCAAGTATATATATTATTATGTAAAGATGTAAATGTATTACATCTTTACATATCGTCAGATATGCTGGTTTTGTAGCAGGCATCAACCATATCTCCAAACATCAGACAATCTTTGCGACTCATTGTGACTATTTTGAATACAAAAAATAAAATAAAAAATACACACCTGTGTCTTAATGACATCGCGCAGAACATCCGAATAATTGCGAGTCTTAGGAGCGACACGGTACTTAGTGCGGCGCCTCCGCATGTTACGTAGTTCCAGAAGTATCTCTTTGCGTGTCAGGATTACCTTGGAGCCCTGCTCATTATTCTCACTATGGGGTAGAAGGAAAAAATATTTAAATTAAGGATAACAATAATTTACTGAATAATAAATTTATAAATAAGTTTGGAGCATATTTTTATGAAACAAAAGTAAACTAAAGCATAATAAAGAAATAATTGAACACTCTTTTTAAGAAGATATACATTAAAAGAGTTACCTGAGTAATGCCAAGTCAGTAAGATCATGACAGGAGGGTACTGCGCTGACCACAGCATCATGTATAACCCGGCGTTCATCTGCTGAGTAGGACACCTGAAGGCGTTCCAATGACATCGGCTCTGCTCCATGGCAACCCAAGCCTTAGTTGAGGAAACTCATTGGATATAGCTGAACAGGCACTTATACATGCACATGTATTCTACTTACAGTTATTATATTAAACATTATGATATACACATAGATATAATATAACTACAACGAACTATATAGTAACATATATATAGTTATATATAACTATATATGGTTATGTATAACTGTATATACATTACTATTTAGTTATATTTGTTTTATCAGCAGATATCATTTTATAAATGTTTAATAAGCAGCCACTGTGTGCCATAAATTTATATACTAGTTGCTATGACGCTGAACTTGCCACCACATAAGTGCTTAAATTATTCCTTTCTCCTATCTTATTATGAGCACATTCTAATAAAAAATATTTTTCTTTGAAATATTGACAAAATGAGCTTTTCAAATCAACAAAATATTACTTAAATGAATAATTATCATTATATTATAAAGGATACATCAGATAAAGGATCTGCCAGTACAGAACCTCCTCATAATCTATATATATTAAAGAAAGTCACATTAATTACTCCACTTATAACTCAAGAATGGCTGAACCGATTTAGATGAAAAGTGGCTGGTAGTTTAGAGAAAAAAAAGAAAGAGTAGGTAGTGTAGGGTAGGTAGAGTAGGGTAGTTAGAGTAGGTAGAGTAGGGTAGGCAGAGTAGGGTAGGCAGAGCAGGGTGGGGTAGGTGCAGTAGAATAGATAGAGTAGGGTAGGTAGTCAAATGACGGGAGTGACGCCGCTGGTAAGAGCTAGTTTTCTATAACATGAAAATCAGAAGATTTGTTTTGCAAATATCTGCCATGCATACCAGAAGAGTTAATTTGGAGAAAAAATATACTGCACTCTACCTTTTTTGAAAGTGATATCTGCTCTGGATGCATTCGCAATGATATCCTGAATATCTTCTTTCCCTGTGCAAAAATAAGTCATAATTACCACATGTATCACTATCAATAGCAGGATTTTACTCAATTAAGGTAACGCTATGAACATATACCTACTGAGTTTGACAAGTGTGTTAGAGTTTGCATCAAGAGGGTCCGGTAACAGCTGATCTTCTTTAAAATATCCATTTTTTCTCAAAAAGCATACTTTCTCGTGTTCTTCTCTCTTATCAGGGGGGATTTTATGATTCGGGTCATATCTGCAAGTGTCCATCATAGGGTTCTGCAAATAAAATCCAAAGTTATTGTATTGTATCGCAATACACAATTTACAGAAAATAGTATACATAATAATAACCTGCAACAGTTGTTTTCGATCCCACTGAAGAGACTGTAAAATCATTGTTAGATCATTGTCGATAATTTCGGTGTAAGACTTTAATTTCGTTAATTCCTCTTGTCTTTTATCCATTATATGATATAATTTACAGCAATTTAGATTTGTAAACAATGAACAATGCTTACTTTTTTGCTAAATGACACTTGACAGTGACTTTAAGGTTATTTTTTTTTTGGAGTTTGTGGCCTGGATACAGGTCTTTCAAGCCAACTCTTTGAGGTTTGTTAAAGAACACTGACCAACATGTCACAGAATTAGAAAAAAAACTTATTTATTCCATGGAAGTCTAGAACGACAATAAACTCGAATAAAACATGCCGCACTTATGTCGTGAAACAACCACAGCGTTGTGTTTCGCCTTGGTAATAAGGTTACCGGAGGCCCAAACCAGACCCTCCCTCAATTCCTGAATCTCCAAAACCCTAATCCCCAAAAGGTCGTTAACTAATTCGTAACTTTCCGATTTCGAATCGGTTTCGATTTCGATTACTTCCCATTAGGTAATGCGTATCCATGTTTGCCGTACTAAAAAAAAAACTAATAATAAGCAAAATATTTCATAGTCAAAACCTGTGGTCAAAACTGATGTAGGTATTAAAAAAGCTTGCAAACGGCAAGGTTTTAGGTTGACAGCTGATTCGACAAGCGATTCTTTTTAATCTGTGGCATTCGCTCAGCGAGACGTGTGTGCTTTTTTCAATTGAATTTTCTCAATAAATGTGTGTGGAAAATGGCAGATTCCGAGGTAAATTCACTAGCTTTTCGCATTGAATCTCTACGAAACTATCACTGCATTGACTACTTCAAATTCTTTTGACAGGTATTAAAAAAATTGAAGGATATACCATTTAAAATCCAGACCGCAAGTTTGAAAGAACGACGTGAGGTTGTTGAAGAAATTAGGAATGTGTTATCAACACCGGGTAAGTACCATCAATAAACCATTTAACCCCGGTTTTACACAAAAGTTGTAAGTGTGTTGTTGTATGATGTGCATTGGTTGCATATAGTTGCATAGTATTTATAGGTTGGTTATTCAGCTGTATTGATCCATAGATGTAGCTAGAAGTAGCTGAAATACCAAGCTCTCACTTGATTCATCCTCGAACGTGTTAATCAGAGCTAGCTACGTGCTGCGTAAATTGAATCTCTGTATATTTTAAAAAACATTCATCAATGTCTAATAAGAATGTACCCTGATACCTGTAAGTCCAAAGAAAATTTTGTATTATAGAATATTACAATTAGTATTAAGGAAATTTTCATCTGGTTTAGAATACAGTAAACCTGACTTATTTGTCAACTTGAAATGCAACAGTTTTTATAATATTTTCAGTCATAATCTGAGTTTTGGAGCATTCGTCTTAGAGCATACTTCAATAATCATCTGTGTATTTACCAATATTGTTTGAGCTGGAAATATAAGATATAAATAAGAATGCTGTACTTCAACAGTGTAATAACATATTCTTGTATGAAAATTATAAACATTTGTGCTATTATCTTCCAACATATTTTTTAGTTGGTGAATAATAAAATTGTGATAGCATTGCAATTGCATCAAATATTTTTTATTCAATTAATAGTGTCAGTAAATCACAGTCTCTGATGATTCAGTTCTTACACCTTTGTTTCCACCTTAAAGAGTTTACATATTGCTATGCATAGCTATGATCTGCTTGTCTTAATGGAGCATATATTTAATGTACTGAACTCTCTAATATTTTGTCATCTGTTGTTGAATTACTTTAATGATATAATTTTGTACTGTGTATCAGGTATTACAGAGCCAGCAGTGCGATTTGTATGTCGCCTGCTGGTCCTCACGCTACACCGCTACAGGGACTCCACCTCCCAGTCATATATCAAGAGCTTGGTGGCCTACCTTGCTACCACCCACAGAGAATGGACCCTCAAAGCTCTGTTGCCTGTTTTGCTTGAAATATCAGAGCAGCTGAAGAACACAGCATCATCGTAAGTTCATATTCACTGTAGAATACAAGTTTGTTTCTTATATATGTATAGAGTAGCCTTAGACTTTGCTTGCCATTGTTTGAAGCTGATTTTAAAATATTGTATATGTGTATAAGTTAAATGACAATATTTAATAAAATTGTGTTTGCAGAAAGAGCATTTGCCAAAGTGGACTGTATGCTCTGCGGTGGTCCACAGTTCTCATAGAAGGTGCAATAAAGGCATCAGAAGAAAATGGTGTGGACTACAATACCCTTGTGATATCCCAGGCTAATCTGCTTGCTGCTATTACTGCATATGGGGACCATAGAAAGAGTGATAAGGCATATTCTATGGTATGTTATTCTTTGAATTATAATTTTTTTTTTGTTACAGTAAACTAAATAGTTACTTTTTATAATTTGTTTCTACTTTTTCCAGTTACACACAACTTGGGTAACAATTGGCAAAGCGAAATTATCCAAGTGGATTGAGGTGCTACTTGCAACACCACCAGACTCTGGTCCTCAGATCTGTGTGACATTCTCTATTCTGTGCCGACATCTACAACAAATAGGAGAAGGGGAGACCATTGAAAAACACAAGGTATACATGATAAAGTGTAATTTCTAGTTTGATAACTGATAACTGATACTGAGTGTTCATGTAGGTATTTTGTACATTTAATTCAGAAATAGTTTACTTTTGGGGCATGTACATCTAATTAGATCCTTATTTTGAAGACTGGTGGAGGTTATTATAATTAACGCCGACACGACATCGTTAGAGCCGACCTTTACGAACTTATTTACTAATTTATTTATTTTGTCAAATATTGTTCCTATAGACCAAGATGCTGGAAAGTTTTACCAAGAGTATAATCAGCGTCAAATCTCGACCAAACGCGAATTACATCAAGGGTTGTCACGACTTGCTGAGTCAACTTAATTCCGGGGATGTCCGCGATGCACTGTTGCCAGCGTTACACAAGGCCATGTTGCGCAGTCCTGAGACTATCGTGCAGGCGGTAGGACAGGTGTTCGCCAGCCTGAATGTGGAATTAGATGGATTGGCTGTAGACATTGGCAAAAGTCTAATCGGTTAGTATTTTAAAAGTGAATATTTAGCGCACAGTATTGTATGAGTGTATGGTTATCGTGGGGTTGTGTGCGCGTGCAGTGAACCTGCACTCGAAGGACGAGTGGGTGCGCGGCGAGGCGCTGCGCGCGCTGGAGCGCCTGGCCGCGCGCTGCTGCCACGCCGCCGCCGCGCGCGCCTTGCTCGCGCACGCATTCGCCGAGTACAACGGAGCCAGCGGGAAGCTCACCTCCAGCGAGGACAAGATCGCCGTGCTCAACGTAAGTTGTTTGTTTTTGGCAATTTTTATTAATACTTCAAGGCGGGAAAGTGGTCCTCGTCCTTGCTGTCTACTTGTCTGAGGAAAATTAAAAAAAAAAACACATGTATTGACTAAATCCCGTCCAGTGACGAACTGCGTACGTGGATAAAGGAGTGACTGGGTGAGTAACAAAATTTAATATTTGTAAGATTTTCTATAATAAGTTGCATTTGGTCAGGGTGTGGGCTGCCTGCGCGCTCTGCCGGTGCATGGCGCGGAGCGGGTGGCGCTCTTCAACGAGGTGGCGAGTCAGCTGGCGCGGGTACTGGACAGCGAGTCCCACGAGCGCACCCTGTGCGTGGCACTCGACACGTTACAGCGGTGGACCGCAGGGCTCGGGACCACGCTGCCTGATAAGTTACTCGATATATTTAAGGTACGCACTCTTATGAAACCAATACGATTTTGGCTGCAAGAAACACAGTATACAAACTATTTTTCCGTATCAGATTGTGACGTGTTTATGTGTAAACATCCTCGCCACACCAAAATACTTTCTAGTTGATGGTGAACATTTCGATGTGAGTACACGATTGCTTGTGCAGAAGAACCTGTCGGCGAAGAGCACGACGCAGGCGGTGCGCACGATGTACATGAGCATGGTGGCGGCGGGCGTGCGGGCCTGCGGCGCCAGCCCCGCGCAGGCCGCCGCGCTGCAGCCCGTGCTCAGCAAGGCGGTCGACAAGGCGGCCCAGCAGCCCTTGCAGGTACTGCTCTACACACTTTAATGTATAATAATCTATGTGATAGAAAAGTGGCTACTTTAGAAAAACTGAAAACGCTCAGAACATCAACATAAACCTGCAAAAGTAACAAAGGGCCGCCTCTGTGCCCTGTATCGACTAACTGATCTATAATACCTACCCTGTTGACACATTTGTTTGAGGTGTACATGTGCTTCATGAATAATAAATAATGTTACACTGGGTGATGTAATACAATGGTGCCCGCAGCACCTGGTGGTGAGCGAGGGTATCTGCGCCATGCTGGGGCTGGTGCAGCTGGAGGCGGGCGGCAGCGGGCAGTGGGCGGCGCTGGCGCACGTGCTGCTGCACGACCGCGTGCTGGCCGCCGCCGGCGACGAAGGTAACTACTGCACCTGCTTCTACTGCGCATTCTCTTTAGTTTTCCTACAACTTGTCATTGGTGCACAATGACTTGCTTTCTGCATACATGATACTTATTCATTCATTATCACCAAAAATTACTGTTATTTCATAGCTTACCCTGGCACTCTATACAACTTGCCTATTTCATTCCTTACAATACATGTCACTCTTAGTTTCAACTTAGTGGTACCCACTCGTATTCATACAAAGTATTACAGAATAATTTGCTAAGTTTAACAAAGTAGCACTATGGTATATAATAATTTACTAAATTTCACTATAGCATTTACCCCTTTATAGTCCTAATGCAGGTGGTGTTGCTATGCAGAACAGTGTTGGAAAACTACCAAAGTGTTGCCAGCGAACAAAACTCGCCGGTTTACAGAGCATTCGTGTTAGTACTGTTATCGCCGATCAAGACTGTTCGTACTTCCGCAGTAGAGGAAGTTAAGGCTCTACTCGCTAAAGAAGACAGGGTTCTAATAGCTAGGAATTTAGCACTCAAATTGAATGAAGTTCTAGAAGAAGGAAAAGTGTTCAGTGGCAAAGAAAAGACACCAACGGACGAAAAAGGAGCTGGCGAAGTCACTGGAAAGATGATCTTAGATTGTGTCCAGGCACTGTGTTCATTTAAAGGTGAGGTGTACTTCTATTTACTCATTCATTCTTATCAATATTTTTCCATACTGTAATGTTATTAACCTTCTTTTATATCTACAGGTTACCCAGAGAAGGACTCTCAAGACTTGGCCCTATCAGTCCTGCCAAGCTGTCACCACCCATTAGCTGTGGCAGTGAACCAACATGCGTGGGTGAAGCTGGTCAACTACCTCGGACACGACCCCAGAAAGTTGGTCAGCCTGTACTCTAACAATCTCAAGAACAAGTATATTGTGGACTTTGTGCCTAATGATGTAAGTGATGAAATGTCTCTGGCCAAATTATCTACAGAGCAGACATTGAGTAGTACAATAACATTGCATGTTGTACATGACAGACCAACACTAACGTGGTGGCGACGCTGGTGCGAGTGAGCCCGGACGTGGCGGGCAGCGCGGCGCTGGCGGCGGCGCTGGCCGTGCTCAGCGAGCCCGGCCTACTGCGCGTCACGCGCGACGAGTACTTCACGTACCTCACGCCGCCCGGGGAACTCTACGACAAGAGTGCAGTGCCGGGGTCTGTACCGATAAATCTTGTTAAACATTTCTTCTGGCTAGAGCTAGCAATGAGTTAACTAGTGAGCGGATAAGGAGTAACGGGCTAATGATAATCATAACAGAGATACTATAAAGATGTTTTGTGTTGCTACAGTAATGAAGATAATAAGGAGATGAATTTGAAACGTGAGAGCAAGGCGTACAGCTACAAGGAGCAGTTAGAGGAGCTGCAACTACGACGGGAGTTGGAGGAGAAGAACAAGAGAGAGGGCAAGGTTAAAGAGGTTAGTCTCACACTGACTCATTGTATTAGAATTAAAAGAAAGTTGGCTCGATTGGAGTGATACTAGACTTTGACTGGGCTGCCTTAACTTAAAACATATGAGAGAGGTTACTGGATGCTTAGTCCTTCCCCTATACTCTGAATGAATAAAATTGAAATATTTCGTTTTATTGATATGTTTTTTTAAATTTCAGGTGCCTCTATCAGCTAAACAGAAAGAAGCTATCAAAGCGCAATTGGCAAAGGAGAGTGCAATAAGAGAAAGACTGACAGCGGTAAGTTGCGGCAGTACGTGGATGCCGGCAGCGCGGCGGCGAGCGCGGTGCGAGTGATGTGTGTGTGTCCGCAGCTGAACGCGCGCGTGGTGGGCGCGGAGCGGCTGGTGCGCGGCGTGCAGCGCGGCGCGGGCGCGGCGCTGTGTCGCGGCGCGCGCCGCCTGCTGCCCGCCCTGCTGGCCGCGCTGCGCAGCCCGCTGGCGGCGCCGCGTCTGGCCGACGTCTACCGCGCGCTGCGCCCCGCGCTGCTGCCGCGCCACGCCGCGCTCGGGGACCTCATCGCGCGTCTCACGCTGCGGTAATTTTGGACTCTTCTAACACTCATGCCACATACTACTTATCTACATGTGAATTTATGATGTGTTTGGAAGTTTCGCCTTGTGAGTGAGGATATCAGAGCCCCAATCCTACCCCTGTTCCCGATTCGCAAATGTGCAATCCTATAATCCTTAATGACCCAACCTATACCACATAAAATCACCTACAGTGCTCCATATTGTACCTGTCTACCGTAAGCAATTTACCCTAATTTTGTCTGTAACACTACTGTTTCGACAGGCTCCATAAGCCGCAGTGTGACCTGGAGCCTAGCTGGGAGGACAACGAGCTGGACGCGGCCACCGCGCGCACCATCAATCAGATATATGCTATCACTTGCACTAAACCTAGTGAAGGTGACGAGGATGCACCGCAGAAGATCAACCACTTTACCGCACCAGGGTTCTGTTACGCTTTCCCACTGCTTAAACTTGGTATGTTGTTTTGACTCGTCTGAACCACTTTACCTTTTAGCTTATTGTTAATAAAATCAAAACTTATAGACAAAGGGAGCTTTCCAGTAAGTGAACATTTTGAAGGAACATTGTTTGTGGGTATGCAGGTCTGTCGAACTCCGCGCTGTGGTCGGACGAGCAGACGATGCTGAACGGGCTGGCCATCATAGAGCAGCACGCGGCGCTGCGCCTCGACTCCGACATGATGCACCCCGCGCTGTTCCCCATCGACCACATATTCCGGCTGCTCATCGACCTCATCAGTACGTACACAGTGCCGTTTTTGTGGGCCCCAGCTGGCGCCAGTGCGTAGTACAGACACGTGTGGCCCCAGCTGGCGCCAGTGCGTAGTACAGACACGTGTGGCCCCCGCTGGCGCCAGTGCGTAGTACAGACACGTGTGGCCCCAGCTGGCGCCAGTGCGTAGTACAGACACGTGTGGCCCCAGCTGGCGCCAGTGCGTAGTACAGACACGTGTGGCCCCAGCTGGCGCCAGTGCGTAGTACAGACACGTGTGGCCCCAGCTGGCGCCAGTGCGTAGTACAGACACGTGTGGCCCCAGCTGGCGCCAGTGCGTAGTACAGACACGTGTGGCCCCAGCTGGCGCCAGTGCGTAGTACAGACACGTGTGGCCCCAGCTGGCGCCAGTGCGTAGTACAGACACGTGTGGCCCCCGCTGGCGCCAGTGCGTAGTACAGACACGTGTGGCCCCAGCTGGCGCCAGTGCGTAGTATAGACACGTGTGGCCCCAGCTGGCGCCAGTGCGTAGTACAGACACGTGTGGCCCCCGCTGGCGCCAGTGCGTAGTACAGACACGTGTGGCCCCAGCTGGCGCCAGTGCGTAGTACAGACACGTGTGGCCCCCGCTGGCGCCAGTGCGTAGTACAGACACGTGTGGCCCCAGCTGGCGCCAGTGCGTAGTACAGACACGTGTGGCCCCAGCTGGCGCCAGTGCGTAGTACAGACACGTGTGGCCCCCGCTGGCGCCAGTGCGTAGTACAGACACGTGTGGCCCCAGCTGGCGCCAGTGCGTAGTACAGACACGTGTGGCCCCCGCTGGCGCCAGTGCGTAGTACAGACACGTGTGGCCCCAGCTGGCGCCAGTGCGTAGTACAGACACGTGTGGCCCCAGCTGGCGCCAGTGCGTAGTACAGACACGTGTGGCCCCCGCTGGCGCCAGTGCGTAGTACAGACACGTGTGGCCCCAGCTGGCGCCAGTGCGTAGTACAGACACGTGTGGCCCCCGCTGGCGCCAGTGCGTAGTACAGACACGTGTGGCCCCAGCTGGCGCCAGTGCGTAGTACAGACACGTGTGGCCCCCGCTGGCGCCAGTGCGTAGTACAGACACGTGTGGCCCCAGCTGGCGCCAGTGCGTAGTACAGACACGTGTGGCCCCCGCTGGCGCCAGTGCGTAGTACAGACACGTGTGGCCCCAGCTGGCGCCAGTGCGTAGTACAGACACGTGTGGCCCCCGCTGGCGCCAGTGCGTAGTACAGACACGTGTGGCCCCAGCTGGCGCCAGTGCGTAGTACAGACACGTGTGGCCCCCGCTGGCGCCAGTGCGTAGTACAGACACGTGTGTCACTCTGCAGGCAGCACGAGTGGGCGCGTGCAGGCGGCGTGCACCGTGGCGCTGCTGGAGACGGCGCAGTGCGCCGCGCGCGCCACGCTCTCCCTCGACGACGTCACCTGTCTGCTGGCCGGCCTGCAGAGCCCGCTCGAGGTACTCCACCCTACTACTTAATATCATACAACTTACCACTTACAGTCCTATTGGAATTTAGGTACATACGCGCAATTTTTTTATGTTCAACTGATCAACTGACGAATACTCGTACCTAATCGTTCACTTTAGAACCACCTGATGATTATGCTAACTATAATAAGGTCAATACCGATCAAAACGGCAGAAAGCTGTCGGTGTGTGTGTATGTGAGCGCTAGTGTAGAGTAGAGCGTGCGCAGGTGGTGCGCGACGCGGCGCTGCGCGCGCTGCTGCGCGTGCTGGGCACGCTGCCCGCGCTGCTGGAGGACCCGCAGCACGCGCTCGACCTCACCAAGCGACTGCTCGTCGCCACCTTCGATGTCGCCGACGACAACAGGTCAGCGAATATAATTATTTGTTGCACATAAATAATCTCACGCGATTTGCCACGAGACACTCCATACACCATATAACACCCGACTACCCAGTCGCAGTCGGCTCGTGCAAACGTTTGGTCGTTGCAGGAAGCTGGCGGAAGAATTGTGGTCTCAGTTGCCGCTGGCGCAGCAGTGGAGCCGCGAGCCTGAGCTGGTAGAGCTCCTCCTGGAGGAGGTGCAGCACCCCGCCGAGCCCGTCCAGCGCGCCGCCGCCGCCGCGCTGGCGCACCTCGTGCAGCGCTCCGCTGACTCCGGCGCCGTGCACCACGTGCTGCAGCGTCTGCAGGATATCTACACTGAGCGCCTGCCGGTTAGCCAGAAGCCGTTACGACACATCACTCGATAATGTGGCTGGCGGTCTGAAAATGAAATAAATGATATATTTGCATGTGCGTGCAGATGATCCCCGCCCGGCTGGACCAGTTCGGGCACGTGGTGGAGGCGGCGGTGGACGCGTGGGGCGCGCGGCGCGGCGTGGCGCTGGCGCTGCGCGCGCTGGCGCCGCAGCTGCCGGCGGGGGCGGTGCCGCCCGCCATGCGCTTCTTCGTGGAGCGCGCGCTGCCCGACCGCAGCGACCCCGTGCGCGCCGAGATGCTCAACGCCGCCATGGCCATCGTCGACCTACACGGGAAGGTGACCGCCTGCAACCTTACGCCTCCACGACGACGATGTCGTCACGACGCCCTGTGCTCACATCCACTGTTATATCTGCAGGAGACCCTCAGCAGCCAGTTGCCAGTGTTCGAGAACTTCCTGGATAAGGCGCCCAAGTCGGGCGGCTACGACGCGGTGCGGCAGTGCGTGGTCCTGTTGGTGGGGTCTCTGGCGCGCCACCTGGAGCCCGACGACGCGCGCATCAAGCCCATCACGCTGCGCCTCGTGGCCGCGCTGTCCACGCCGAGCCAGCAGGCCAGTACCACTAGCATACTCGGTGCCCCCGCCCTACATTATTGCTAAACTAGACTGTTCCGGCTACAGGTACAAGAAGCAGTGAGTAACTGCCTGCCCCACTTAGTCAGCTCTCCAGCACTAGAAGACGAAATTCCGACCATCATGAACAAACTGATGAAACAATTACTCACTGCAGAGAAATACGGAGACAGAAAAGTGAGTATAGAAATGCCTATACTAATATATTATTTAACATACAATAATATCACATGTTCCGTGTAAGTAAGATATTGCTTCCACGTGAGGTATTGATGTTGATGCGTGTGGGGTGCAGGGCGCAGCGTACGGTATCGCCGGCATCATCAAAGGCCTCGGCATCTTGTCTCTGAAGCAACTCGACGTGATGGGCAAGCTCACTGAGGCCATCCAGGAGAAGAAGAATTTTAAATATAGAGAAGGTAGTGTGCACGTTACACATTTAATACCACTGATTGGCCAGTGTTCTCGACTTGTTTCTAGCCTAACTAGGTAAATTCTTTCATATTATAAATATTGTAGATTTTGTGTCACGTGTCCTGTGTAATGTTTATGAGTAGATAGGTCCCTTCAAAACGGTCCATCAAAAGTGAAGCAAGATTCAAATTTATGTGTGAATAAAATTCTTAAATTTTCCTTATGGTGTGTTAGTGGGGAAAAGTCGCTTACTTATTTTTTTAACGAATTCAATATCCTCCCCCTGGTGAATAAGTTCGATAACTCAAGTAATAAAACAATAACTTATTTTAAAGTATTCATGAATTTGAAATTATATCCAATTTCAATAAGAAATTACCAAAAAATAAGCTAGTAGTAGATAAATAATTGTCAAATAACATTTTGTGCATTTATTGCCGTATGGAGACGTGTATAAACTAGAAAATGTAGGAGATGTTTTCCCCACAACAGCAACATTTTCATATTGAATTTTTTCCCATTTTAATAGTTGACATCATTAGTAGTTTGTGTGATCCACAAATTGTTGTTCCGGGTCTGGGTGTGATGTGTTTGTGGAATTGTATGTTTGTAAACGCACCCACGACACAGGAGAAACAACAAGTGTGGGGCAACGTTTTCTTTAAAAAAAAAAATATTTTACGAATAAATATTGTTCAAACTCATTACTTATCATTGAAATATTATGTTATTAAGTTCCTTGTGCTTTTCTGATGTACTGTGACATCTGTGCGCTGCGCAATCTGTCATTATTAATAAAAATATCGGAAGTAGTTTTCAATACGACTGACTGAACTTAGCCAAAATGACTAGGTTTGAGTAGCTTCACTTTGAAGATGCGTACTCGGTTTGTAGGTGTAATTATTGAAGTGTGTGCAGCAAAGAGAGAGTAACGAGTAAGACGGGTCGTGTGCGCAGGCGCCCTGTTCGGGTTCGAGATGCTGTGCTACAAGCTGGGCCGGCTGTTCGAGCCCTACATCGTGCACGTGCTGCCGCATCTGCTGCTGTGCTTCGGCGACTCGTCGCAGTACGTGCGCGCCGCCGCCGACGACACCGCCAAGCTCATCATGAGCAAGCTCAGCGCGCACGGCGTCAAGCTCGTGCTGCCCTCGCTGCTGCAGGCGCTGCAGGACGACAACTGGCGCACCAAGGCCGGTACGCCGACTTTGCCTTCATTAACTTGTCGCTCGTTCCAAACTTTCGATTCCTATAGAGCGCAACGACATTACCTTTATTTCTATGTGGAAGGAATTCAATTAGAGAGTGTCGACAGGTTCCATCGAACTGTTGGGCGCGATGGCGTACTGCGCGCCGAAGCAGCTGTCGTCGTGCCTGCCGTCCATCGTGCCCAAGCTCATCGAGGTGCTCAGCGACTCGCACATGCGCGTGCAGGAGGCCGGCGCCGAGGCGCTCGGCGTCATCGGATCCGTTATCAGAAACCCCGAGATTCAAGGTACTCTTTTATTTATAACTAGCTGCTTGCCCCTACTTCGCACGGGTATCCAACTGGTTGCGATTTCCCGATTATCCCTTCTGCTTTCCCCAAATGATCTTACATAACAACCTTTTCCTGGCAATAACGAGAACTGTCAATTCTTATTTTGTTAATAAGAATTGTCAAAATTTTTACAATTGGTATTGGTTTTTATATTAGATGTATATTCCTTTCCATTCCCGGGACCACAGGGTCCTTTAGAAGACGTACGAGGAGCCGAAGCCAACTTGCAGAGGCCTGTTTAACAGTTTTAATATAAATATGATGGAACATCAGCCGACAATTATCCCTGTATGCACTATAAAGGAGCACCCAAGGACAATCCCCGGTTGATGCAGGGCTACTGTAAAATGTAGCAAAAATTGATAGAGTTATGGGTATGGACTAGTGAATGACGACTATGGAAATACGATGGGCCCTGTCCCTCACCAATATTGATACATACGGATAAACAGGCAGGGGGTGACTAGCAAACTCAATTAATAGGCCACCAAAAACGGCCGCTAGCACGTCATGTAGCGATACGGGGCAACATTATTATTATTATTGTAGGTAAAAAACATGTGAAAGGGAAGATGCTATCGATGTCTTCATATTGCAGCAATCGTGCCGGTGCTTCTGGAGGCCCTACAGGACCCGTCCAACAAGACGTCGGCTTGCCTGCAGACCCTGCTGGACACCAAGTTCGTGCACTTCATCGACGCGCCGTCGCTGGCCCTCATCATGCCGGTAGTGCAACGCGCCTTCCTCGACCGCAGCACCGAGACCCGCAAGATGGCGGCGCAGATCATCGGCAACATGTACTCCCTCACAGACCAGAAGGACCTCATGCCCTACCTGCCCAACATCATACCCGGTCTCAAGAGCTCCCTGCTCGACCCTGTGCCTGAGGTACACACTAATTTAACTGTTAATTTCTTAGAATATTTTTAATGAAAATGGTACTACAGTACAAATTTTATATACATCCATATAGGTGCGCTCAGTGTCGGCGCGGGCGCTTGGCGCCATGGTGAAAGGTATGGGAGAGAGTAGCTTCGAGGAGCTACTCCCATGGCTCATGCACACCCTCACCTCGGAGTCTAGCTCCGTAGACCGCTCAGGGGCCGCGCAAGGACTGTCCGAGGTCGTCGCCGGCCTTGGCGTGCACAAACTGCATAAAATCATGCCAGGTCAGTTATATAACGTATTAAAGGTCTGCACATTGTTGCAATAATAACGAAGTGCTAGCCAACCTGCGGTACTAATTGTTTTGTTGTACCTGGTTAGATATAATCGCGACGGCGGAGCGCACAGACATCGCGCCACACGTGAAGGACGGCTACATCATGATGTTCATCTACATGCCCGGGGCCTTCACGGACGAGTTCCTGCCCTACATCGGGCAAATCATCAACCCCATCCTCAAGGCGCTCGCCGACGAGAACGAGTACGTCAGGGAGACCGCGCTCAAAGCGGGCCAGAGGATTGTCAACCTGTACGCCGAGTCCGCCATCACGCTACTATTGCCCGAGCTCGAGAAGGGACTATTCGATGACAACTGGCGCATCAGATATAGCTCGGTACAACTCTTGGGAGATCTACTCTACCGTATCTCGGGAGTTTCTGGAAAGATGAGCACGGAGACTGCTTCAGAAGACGATAACTTTGGTACGGAGCATTCACACAAGGCGATCATTAACGCCCTCGGCCCTGAGCGGAGGAATCGCGTACTGGCTGGTCTGTACATGGGCAGAAGTGACGTGGCCTTGATGGTGCGCCAGGCTGCGCTGCATGTCTGGAAGGTATGTGCCTCGGTTTTAAAAACACATTGAATTCTTGACTCGTTTGGAACATTACATTACGGCCCGTTGTGCCCCGCAGGTGGTGGTGACCAACACCCCGAAGACGCTGCGCGAGATCCTGCCGACGCTGTTCGGTCTGTTGCTGGGCTGCCTCGCCTCCACCAGCTACGACAAGCGGCAGGTCGCCGCCAGGACCCTGGGAGACCTCGTGCGCAAGGTACCACAGCAGTCTGGGAGACATGTTTACTTAATACCTTGTTTTAATACCCTTAAGATAAAAGTAAAAACATGTTGCTAGTATTAATGCTTGATGAATTGTTACCTCTTTCACTATCTGGTAGAGGACAAGTCAACAATTTGGTTTTGTCACGAAGTAATCAAAACTAATATTATAAATGCGAAAGTAACTCTGTCTTTCTTTTCTTCAGGCCTAAACTACTGAACTGATTTCTGTGAAATTTGGTACAGACATAGTTTGGAACTCGAAAAAGGTCACAGGATAGTTTTATACCAAAAATCTGCAGGAAGTCACTATTCCACGCGAACGGAGTTGCGGGCAAAAGCTAGTTATTAATTATTAATTTGATATAAATGATTGGCATAATACATGCGTGGTTTGCAGCTGGGCGAGCGAGTGCTGCCGGAGATAGTGCCCATCCTAGAGCGGGGGCTGCGCTCGGAGCGCGCGGACCAGCGCCAGGGCGTGTGCATCGGGCTGGGGGAGATCCTGGCGTCCACGTCGCGGGACGCCGTGCTCAGCTTCGCGGACGGGCTCGTGCCCACCGTGCGCACCGCGCTGTGCGACCCGCTCCCCGAGGTGCGCATGGCGGCCGCGCGGACCTTCGACAGCCTGCACGCCACCATCGGGAACAAGGCTCTGGACGACATCCTGCCGCAGATGCTGGAGGGACTCAAGGACCCCGACCCTGAGATAGCGGAGGCCACGCTCGACGGTCTCAAACAGGTTTGTGGATACCCTGTGCCCCCGCACTACCTGCAGAGACAGAGAGTAAGCGAGCGCGGCGTGTGCAGGTGATGGCCATCAAGTCGCGCGCCGTGCTGCCGTACCTGGTGCCGGTGCTGACGGCGGGCGGCGCGGGCGGCGCCGTGGACACGCGCGCGCTGTCGGCGCTGGCGGCGGGCGCGGGCGCGGCGCTGGCGCGCCATCTGCCGCGCGTGCTGCCGGCGCTGCTGTCGGCGCTGGTGGCGGCGCACGGCGGCCCGGACGAGGCGCGCGAGCTCGACCACTGCCGGGACGCGCTGCTGCCCGTCGTCGACCCGCCCGGCGTGCGCAGGTACCACGTGCCACTCTGTTCACTTGTCACCTAATTTGAAATCATTATTACTTTAAATTACACAATTGCCTATTTGGAAGGCCTATGTTCAGCAGTGGACGTCCTATGGCTGATATGATGATGATGATGACACAATTGACATAATTACAGCTTTGTTTTATTCTAAGTCATACATTATAATGCTTGATGTTTACAGGTGACTTGTTTAAATTCACTGCTTATTGCTTACAAAGCATATTTTGCAAACGGATAAATACGAAATCTATATAAAATTTTAATATTTATCCTTGGCGAAAATCATTGAATACCCTTATTTTTCTTCTTCTTTTAATATCGAGTTCTATCTCTCAGTATAAAATGAGTACAAAAAATATAGAGATATCCCGTGCGAACCGGGTCGCTACACGAGCACGGTAATATTATCATACAGTATTCCAACTTCATGCAAATGGACGAAACCTGCTATTCTACGCGCGTTGGTGTCGGGGTGCAGGTAGTCACAACGAACGGACGCGGGACGGTGTGGTTTTTAACATTAGCCGCGCGACTTTATTGCGTAAAATAAATTATATTCGGTGGCAGCAGGGGCAGTCCAATAAAACTATGTTTAACTTATGATTGTTATATAAAATAAATAAAAATTACCAATTTATATATATCTTATTGCTAAGCATAAGTCTACGATTGACCAAAGAATGCATATGCAAAAGTAAGTTGCGGCGCAATCCCACAGTACATGTAAAACGGTAGGTACATAAAGTGTTTATTTTTAATGTTGAAATATTTAATTTAATTTCACGATGTTTGGATTAATGAATAAAGCGAATAGAGTAAACAAAAGATTATTGACTCTGATGAAATAGGTAGTAATAACAGCTAGACTTAAAATATAGTTAAATATTTGAGTGTTGTGATTTAATAACATTGGTAGTCAGTTGTTCAGCTTGACATTAGTGGACAAAGAATTTAGTTTCTTAAGCTTGCGTCGCCCCGCCCCTCGCGCTTGCGTGCATTTTATAACACAACTAGCTGTGCCCGCTACTTTGTTCGCGTGGAATAGTTATTTTGGCAACATATTTATTTTTTCAAACAACCTCCTCAGTTTTATGAGTTACGTTCCGTTTATTGCTGATCGTGCATTTTACTGGGCTTATGGATGGGTGAATGGACGACAGTGCAGCGTAGGTAAGTGATACCAGTTGAGTAATATGAAATGTCGCCGCAGCATCATCGACACCCTGCTGGAGACGATCCGCAGCGGGACGGCGGCGCGGCAGCGCGCGGCGGCGGCGCTGCTGTGCGCGTACGTGTCGCACTCGCGCGCGGAGCTGGCGCCGCACGTGGCGCAGCTCATCCGCGGCCTCGTGCTGCTGCTGGCCGCCGCCGAGCGCGACGTGCAGCTCATGGCGTGGGAGGCGCTGGCCGCGCTCACCAAGTCGCTGGACCCCGAGCGCCAGATCGCGCACGTGTCCGACGTGCGCCAGGCCGTGCGCTACGCCGCCGCAGACCTCAAGCCCGACCAGCTGCTGCCCGGCTTCTGCCTGCCCAAGGTCCGCCTCTCTCCCTTTCTCGCCGCTTCTCAATCTGGTGCGTCTTCTGTGTGTCACTAATGACAGGTCACTTTTGTATACAGGGCTTGGCTCCGATTCTGCCGCTGTTCCGAGAGTCGATACTGAACGGTCTACCTGAAGACAAGGAGAACGCTGCACTTATGTTGGGCGAGATCATCAGACTTACTTCTGCTGCCGCCATCCAACCTTCCGTAGTGCATATCACGGGGCCGCTCATACGTATCTTGGGAGACAGGTTCAACTCCAGTGTGAAAGCAGCCGTACTCGAGACATTGGCCACTTTACTCACGAAGGTAAGCTCATCAGATACAATAAATATGCGCAGTAAAATATCAAGGGCGCCACCAGATATAGTAAAATATAACAAGCAAAATAGTAAACGATCACCGACATTAAACACCGCATTTTAATGTAAACTTAGATATAATCAAAGTTTTCACACCATCCTATCCTTTTTAAGAAATACTCCATAAAAAATAAATTATTGTTTTATCACCTTGTATCACCATGCACCCTCATCTTCCAGCCCCCTGGGAAATGTACAAAGTAAAGTTTACTGATGTCAACCGCGCGCGCAGTCAGCAGTTCGACACTGACCCAAAATTTTTTTTCATGTATAATACAATAGGTCGGCAAACGAGCAGACGAATTACCTGATGGTAAGCAATCAGCGCCGCCCATGGACACCAATTTGAAAACGACACCTTTCTTCCTATAACACGAAGAAAGTTCAACGTGAATCCAACATCCCTTTTATTTCCCAACCGGACGGAACACCAACGCAATAACATTCCAAGGAACCATAAAATTTCAACGCTCGAACGTCATAAATTCCGTAACTGAATGGGGAGCAAACAAAAAGGAATCTGTGCCAACAAACTATGCGAAAGTGTTCGCAACTCAAACACTTAATGATGACGTATGGCAATTCGTTGGCCATCACAATACGTGATACGTCAGTAGGTTGGGAATCGTAATAGAAAAACTTGGGTCGTTTGTGTGACCATTGCTTTGTTACACGCAGTTTTATTTGAATTGTTATATGGGAGCCTGCTTCAAGGACACTTGGTGCTGCATCTTCTTTCTTCACCTAAATTATTAAGGGTCTTAATTGGTTTTTTTATGTAATAGCTCGGCAAACGAGCAGACGGATTACCTGATGGTAAGCAATCAGCGCCGCCCATGGACACTCGCAACGGAGAAGTTACGAGTGCGTTGTCGACCTTTTAGGGATTAGGGATTTGGAGATTTAGGGATTGAGTAGGGATTGGGGGAGGAGAAGGATTGGGCCTCCGGTAACCTCACTCACATGGCGAAACACAACGCTGTGGTTGTTTCACGCCGGTTTTCTGTGAGGACGTGGTATCACACCGGTCCAGCCGACCCATTCGTGCCGAAGCATGGCTCTCCCACACTTATTTAGTGTAAATATTAACACTAACTTAAAGTTAGTTAACGTTCGGTCACCAACCAAGCCGCGTTTGCTCTTACCATTAACCAATATCCCATATTTTACCATACAAGTTTCTACTGTTTATTTGTTGGATTTACGCCCAACAATTGTGAACCCATAAACAATGGGTTAGTTTCATTATTATATCATGAGACCATTCTGGGACTATCTCCTTTCCAACAAAACATAGAATTATCAAAATCGGTTTATAAATAATTGAGATATCAGCGAACAAACATAAAAAACAACATACGGTCGAATTGAAAACCAACCTCCTTTTTGGAAGACGGTTAAAAAAATAAGAATATAAAAAATATGGTAAAATTAATTAATCAACGTGTCATTATTTGTATGGTTATATAAGTTAAAAAATATTCCTTTTTGACGCTGTTGATGAAAGGTCACCGTTGTAACCTAACCCAAAGGTATTTTTGACACAGCCTAACGCAATAATAACCTCGCTAAGATTGATGCTTTCTATTTTTAATGTTGGAGTACAGTTTGAAGTGCAAGAATTAAGAGTATCAAAGCATTTTAGGGTGGTCATTATATTTAACCCCAATATCTAAACGTCCACTGCCCGAACCAAGCGAGTTTGGTTTATTTATTCGGCGCTCTCATTGTCTGCGCTTGTAATCAAATTAAAATGTTCTAAACATCATTTCCAATGCTATGCAATGTAATCGGTTATTTTAGGTGGGAGTGATGCTGAAGCAGTTCTTGCCGCAACTGCAGACGACGTTCCTGAAGGCACTGAACGACCCGAACAGGCCCGTGCGCATCAAGGCGTGCCTGGCGCTGTCGCAGCTCGTGGTCATACACTCGCGGGCTGATCCTCTCTTCTTGGAAATGCACAACACCATGAAGAACGTGGAGGACCCGCTTATTAAGGAGACCATGCTGCAGGCCTTGCGAGGCGTCATATCCGCCGGCGGCGACAAGATGACTGCCACCACTGCGCTGGCCATCCTGCCCACGCTGAGCAGCCCCGCGCTGCTGGCGCACCCCGAGGACCCGCCGCGCTCGCAGGCGGCGGGCTGCCTGGGCGCGCTGCTGCACTGCCTGCCCGCGGCGCAGCAGGACGCGGCGCTGGCGCACCACGTGCTGGCGCCCAGCGAGCCCGAGCTGCTGGCGCACGGCCGCTCCACCGCGCTCTTCGTGGCCCTCAAGGAGACGCCGCACATCGTCTACAAGGACGAGGAAAAGGTGGACAAGGCGCTGCTGGCGCTGCTGGCCAGCGACAAGGTGTCCATCGCCTGCAACGGCATCCGCGCCATGGGCTACCTGATGCGGCATCTGCTCAAGGAAGGCCGCCCCGTGCCCCCCGCCATACTCTCGCAGTTTGTCAGAGTAAGTCTCGGTATTTCCGTATGCACAGTGACACATCGATAGTTCCTTCTGTCATATAAGATACAAATTGTAGTCAATTGAACCTGCCTGTATAACTTCATAAATTTTGTATATTAACCTAAATAGTAACTGCAAGGGTTGTTGAGGCCGACCATTATCCGACCACGACTGCATTTCTCGAGCTGACATAAAATGTAGTTGCACTACGTGTTGCAGGTTGCATTCCCCCCACTGAACTTGTGTAATCCACAAATGAACAGCTTTGCGACAGGTCAGTTTTTAGAGAATTATAATATGTACGAATTTGACAGAGTATGAACCACCCAAGCAACGAAGTGAAGCAACTGATGGCCCGCGCGGCCACGATGCTGGGCCGCGAGGCGGAGCTCAGCGCTAGCGGACCCAGCGCTGAGCTGCTGCGGGCGCTGCTGCCGGCGCTAGTCAACGGCACCAAGGAGAAGAACACCTACGTCAGGGCCAACGCCGAGATAGCGCTGCGCGCCGTGCTACGATTGCCGCAAGATGAACAGTTCCACCTGGTCAGTACTTACTACATTCATCACCAGCTTGCTCTATCTGTACAAAGTTCCCTAAATATGTTCTTTGACTGCGATCCGATTCGCGCAATAAAAAAGGTGTGTCAGGACTTTGACTCCCATATAGAACAACTCAATTCTGGTGTGGGTTATTAAATTGTTAATACAAAGAACACAATTGCCAGACGTGTGAATTGTCACGTCTTGCATTACCACGGCCCCTGATTACATATTAAACAAACACTTCCAAGAAGTAAAGATTTGTATCAAGTTCATGCTATCATATTGATCTACATAGATAAACAAAATGAATTTGATACAAAAATTACCTAAAATTCTTATTACATGACTCAATACCCTAAAATGCTTGAGCAGGTCACTAGGAAGAAAGTCTGACACCATCAATTCTTACATTAAGATCTCAAGAAAGACTAAACTAATTTGGCCGAAAATTTAAGGGGTGGTAGCTTAGGCCCGGGATATGGACTTTATCACTGCTAAAATAGAGGGTATGGAAAATCTTATATAATATAAAAATGAATCGCAAAATGTGTTGGTAAGCGCATAACTCAACAACGCCTGGACCAATTTGGCCAATTCTTTTTTTAAGATGTTCGTTGAAGTCCAAGGATGGGTCTTACGGCGAGAAAAATTCGAATAATTGCTGGGAAAACCCTAAAAACACTCCTTTTCTTTTTCACATACAAACGTTTTATAACTAAAACGTAGAATCTATTTGAGCTTTATTGCTATTAAATAAAGTTCATATTAAATAACAAGCACTCACTGTTATCTAAGAAATGTAGGTGTGTTCCTAACATGAAAATGTAAATTTGCTCTTTCTTACCCCTATACAAAGTTCAAATTCTGTCATATCTAACAAAACAGTGTGTAATATAAATATATCAAAATAATTAAATAAAACATGTAATAGTGTTTTATTTAATTATTTTTAATTCACACCGAATTATTACCAGGGTGACGGTTCTGTTCAGGATATTTTTTTGCAATGAATATAAAGTAGGTAGGAATGAAACACTGCCACAATACATTTTTTTTTGACAGGACGACGTCTGTCAGCTCTGCTAGTATTGTTATAAATGTAATATTCCGCATTTTGTAGGTAGAAGAAAGCTAATAATTCGTATCAAAAATCCGAAATCTTTACATTCTTTCCCCAAATGGAAAGACTATCCTCATATTGTCTGCGGTAGGATATTCTGTTCCGAGTTTTCTTTTGACATTAGGTTACTACAAATTTAACGCGAATGCGAGCCACGGGCAAACACTAGTTGATGATAACTAAATGAATATTTTCAAATGTATGATTATTGTGTGTAGCAATGCATGGCGTTACTAGAAGAAGGCGCGCGGGAGGCGCTGGGCGACGTGGTGGCGCGAGTGCTGCGCCGCAATATTGCCGACGGACGCGACGAGGACCTCGACTGCACGCTACTTACCTGAGACCTACATACTACTACGCCCCCGCGTCCTGGACCTCACACTTATACTACTTTTAATTTGTTATACAACTTCTTACTTGTTTCCTTAATCCTTGTAAATATCTGCCAGTCACTTGTATGTGCTGTTATTTTTTATAAAAAATAAATTAATGAATATTTTATAAAATTTTTACTAAACTAGACCTATTAATTTTAAAAATACCATTTTTATTATAATGTATAAATATTAGCTAAACAAATTGAGATGTTACTCCCATTCCATTTGTGTAGCTACATGAGAAAATGAATTTATTACCTAATATGTCTGTCAACAATACTAACCAATATAAAAATGACTGAGTAATATTAGTGCAATACCCACCCAGGGAATGAAACAAAATGAGAGTGGTAATAAATTAATTACTATAAAATGGCAATGAACTGTATTTGTTTAATAAAGTACAATAAAATCAAATAACAATAAGTGGTAACCCAAAATTCAATTACACTATTGATAGCATTCCATATTATTTATCTACATACAAACACAGATTGAATTTCCTAATATGAAATCATGCTGAATTGTTATCTCTGTAATAACAAAACATAAATGTATCAAACTGAATAAACTACACTACTTATCATATGACTTTATCTCATACCATACCAAACCAGTTTGATTAAAATAATTAATCCATCAGATTCTACAAAACATAAAATTTACTCGATTATTGTATTAAACCAAGGTTGTATAATACTTATGCATATTTGTTCTCTTACATACAATAGAAGAATAGGAATGTTACATAAATATGAAATCTTAACATAGAAAATCACAATACTATCTGAAAAGAACTACAACTCCTTATCTTTATTCTTTTTTGTAAAACCTCTTTCCTGGATCAATTCATTGCATTGCTGGCGAGTCAGTTGCGACAATGGAAGACGTTCTAACTCTCGGTCATTTTCTCCAAGTAGGACCAACTCCGGTGGAGCTCCACTGATAAAATTAACTTCCACACGCTCATAATTAGGAGCATCATCCATCACAAATCTTTTGACCTCCGGTAAACGATTTAATGAGCACCCTCTGCAAGTCTAAAATATAATAAAATAGTTATTAAACAGAACCAAGCACTCTTACTTAAATAGTGTAAGTAGATAGGGGTTGACACTTGTGTAGCTAACCTCAATTCTTGCAGAAACAATATCTGAATTCTCGTAAGCAAAACTTGTAGCTAAAATAGCACAAATAGCTAGCAATGTAAACTTCATATCGATAAAATTAGATGTTTCTACTTAGTCACGCAGAATTTGACTGAATTTGGTAAGCGATTATTGCTCTTTTAATATATAGAAAATTGAAATTCTAGCTAGGGGACGACGAAACGTCAATAATGACATGACAGTCATGCATGACACCCTGCGACTAGTGATGTAGGGCAGCGGATAAAAAAGTAATACTCGGATATTTATAATTGCACAAGTCGTTTCTCTTTATATTTAAAATTATCAGAAACGGGTGGGTTTCCAAAAAAGTACCTATTTTACGTTACGTTAAAAGTTCTTATTATAAATAAGAACCTTTGTTCATGTCAGACATAACAGAGTGTAGAAAATTCATTCATGGACGTATTAAACCAATGACATTGTCAGTGCCTGTCAGTGTCACTTTTCAGTCTGCAAGAATTAGATTATAAAATATTTTTTACTGTTTTGTGTGTTCTGTCGTCACTGAACTCGTCTTTATTTATTTCGAGAAGCGTAAATGAGCTACAATAATAATTTAATCTAATTTGTGTGTTTGACTTGGTTACGCTTGTCCTAGGGAAATTGTTCAAGTTTTTTTATTTTATTGGTGTAAAATTAAATACTCTACAAAGAAAATGCAGAGAGAACACAGAGAAGCAATTCGAAGTAATTTTACCTCCCTGGTGGAGCGTACAGATCTGGATTCAGTCGTTACAGCTTTGTATGAAAAAGGAGTCTTTTCCGAGCAAATGATCGAACCGTTCAGGGTAAGTTAATGTTTCATAATGTTTTACCTTTTACAAGCATCGTTAAAATAACAAAACAATGACTGGTATTATTTGTTAAGAGGTGATTACATATTTATATGGAGAATACGTGACCTAAAAGAAAGGTATAAATGGTAAAATTGTATATTAGTAGCTGTTGAATATTTACTTTGGGAGAGGGGAGGAAGACACAGGAATAAATAATAGTAATAGAGAAAGGTACTTTACTTAATAGAAAGCTTTGCGAAACAGTGATTTATTTATTGATCAAAAACATATTCCATCTTAACAGGGTTTTTCCTAATGCAATGAGAAGATCTTAATGTAAAACTTAGACAAAAATAAATAAATTGTTATACAATTAAAAAAATTAAACAATTTAGTTGAAACAAATAAGGGACAGATATTATTTTATACAGTAGAACTTACATAATACCTATTTTACAAAATTTTATTATTATTATTTGTACATCTTTACCAATCATGGGACCCCAGGGTCCCAGTCATTTGGGAGGCATACAAGGGGCCGGAGCCAACAGTGCAGAGGCCCTTTAGATAACTTTAATCTAAATGAAGTGACACACAGACTGGTGACCGTCCCTTTATGCACAGCTGCTGAGCTCCATTTTATTGTAGTGTGATGTTTTATAGCCTATAGCACTCGGGAACATTTTAGCTATCAATAAGTGAAAAATTTTGGGAATCCGACCAGTGGTTCCATAGATTACCCCCTACATACAAACTTACAAAGTTTACCTCTTTATAATATTAGTATAGATGGAAATATACCCAAGGACAATCCCTAAATGCATTCTGCATTGCTGGCCCACTTGCTGCTTATGAACAGCTGACTAGCAAGCCAGCTGCAACAGATGGCCAATAAAGGCAAACCAGAGGTGTGAGACTTGTACCTCATCATCATTCATCCCAGCCAATAAGGGAAACTGGAGATTAAGAACAGTGATTTCTCCCTTGATCACTCAGATGAAGGTAGAGCCCGCGGGAGCGCTTATTCCCGACATCTTGCCTCAAGGTTAAGTGTGGGAGAGCCATGCTTCGGCACGAATGGGTCGGCTCGACCGGAGTAATACCACGGTCTCACAGAAAACCGGCGTGAAACAACCACGGCGTTGTGTTTCGCTGTGTGAGTGAGGTAACCGGAGGCCCAATCCTTCCCCTCCCCCAATCTCCCCTCAATCCCTAATCCCTAAAAGGTCGGCAACGCACTCGTAACTCCTCCGTTGGGGGTGTTCATGGGCGGCGCTGATTGCTTACCATCAGGTAATCCGTCTGCTCGTTTGCCGATCTATTACATAAAAAAAAAGGTGCCCTGTGGATTACTTTTATTATTTGTTGACAGGCAGGCAGTTGAAACAAATAATAACGCCCGCATCCTGTTAATTTTCACTAGCTAATTTCTTGCAGTTGAGTAAATATTTGTCAAGTTGATTTGTAAATTGGTTCACACTTAGGGCTGAAACTACATTTTCCGGGAGTTTGTGAGCTACTTTATTAGTGAGAAAGTATTTGTGAGCATTGTTATTTGATCTGTTAGTGCTAAGTTTTAAGTGATGGGCTATGAGGTGGGGGTTTGTTGTGTGACTAGAACTTAAACTACACTACATTATTTTATCTACTTATATATTTAGCCGTGGAATGTAGATCTTATTATACTATTGGAATAAAACTACTTAAACACTATGGTTGTCGGACACTGTACTGACTTGGGTAATGCGTGCTGGTTGTCGGACACTGTACTGACTTGGGTAATGCGTGCTGGTTGTCGTGAGACAGCAAAGTGTGGATGTAGGCTGTAGTTTACAGTGAGAGACGGTTCACCATGTCGAATCTCACGGTCGACGGCGACCCGAATTGGTAAGATGATATGAGCTTTAAGCTAAATACATGAACATAAAACATTTTTGTCATATGATAGAAGGAAGAGAACTAACCGTATTAACAGATCCAAACCACTCATTTTCGCATAGGTAACAAATAAAATCATTTATACCAACTAGTGTCCGACCGAAGGTGCAATTCTGGCCGAAGCCGAAGCCGACCGAAATCGGTATTCACCAAAACCTTCGGCCGAAGCCGAAGCCGAAGGTGACATTGACCTTGAGAAATACGATAGTTATTTTGATCTCAGAATAAACAAGATACATACATATTGTAAGAGCTTTAGAGATTTAGCCCAATAACGAGCCGAGAGACCAACCTATACAAGTAGGTAATAAAATATTGTCTAAAACAAAAGTTTTAAATATACAATATTAATTAAATATTTATTTACTTAAAGTAATTTTAACAAAAATAATCAAACAATCAGTCACTTTTTTTTAAATTATCAGACAAACACAAAATATTTCTATAAAATAATTGAGCAGTTTAAAGCTTTTCAATACCTATTTTTACTTGCTTACCTATCTTTAGGTACTTTTAAACTTGTTTTGACTCGTTTAGTTTACTAACTGCGATTCGTTTGGGCCGGTGCGGCTGCGCGGCGAAACTCTGCTGCTCTGCCCACTCTCCGTCTCGCTCTAGCATCGTTCAGTGAATTTCAAATTTTGACAAGTAGCAAACCTTCGGCAAATATTTGGCCGAAGGTGGCCGAAGCCGAAGCTTCGGCACACAATAATATTAAGTTTATACAGCCGACGCCTTATCCAAAATTGAAGAGATTACCATGCCATCGATTCTGAATAAAAAAGTGACAATCTTCAATTTAAATTGATTACTATGCCTAAAAGCATGAGCTACAAAAAGCATGCGAAGCGCCTACGAGCAATATAAGTACTTTTTTATCTACCTCAGCAAATCCGGGAAGTTGTAATCATCAGAACATTGCATAACATGAGTTGCGGCATCACGACTACGAAACGTCTAATTTAATGCTAAGTTTGTGAGAGTCATGCTTCGGCATGAATGGGCCGCCTTACTTTGTGTTTCGCTTTGTGAGTGAGGTTACCAGAGGCCCAATCCTTTCCCTCTCCATCCATCCGGAGGGGGGGTGGGGGTGGATGGAGATCTTTCATACTGCAAAACTCATATCCCTTCCTCAATACTCAAATCCCATATCCTTAAATCCCTAATAGCCCAAAAGAGTCCGGCAACGCAGTTCCAGTAATAACTCTTTTGGTTTTACGAGTGTCCATGGGCGGCATCGTTGTGGTTCGAGTGACGAAATAACCTGAAGTTATACAAGTAAAAGATATAACACCCAAAACTTGCTAGGGTGTTCGTGGAACATTGGATCGTTCGTTTCGGTTGTCCAGTAACAATAACTTCAGACCAAGGACGTCAATTTCAATCACATTTGTTTAATCAACTATGAAAAGTGTTCGGTATCGAATCAGCCTATTTATTAAGGTTTTGGTATGACGTGTTGGTCTCACGACGCGCCACATCCGCCAAGCGATACGATGCCATTTAACACCATACCACAGCAGATAAGCGATAGGATGCCACCCGATACCGCAAAGCCCACATCACAGCATGTTACCAGTTCAGGTCGCATCGTTAAGAAGAGTCTTTTTTGACTCTCCCACTCTTCAGGCGTAGTCCCGATGTCATGGAAGACAGTAATCGCACAAATCCGTTGAATAACAGGCCGATAGCTATAACTTCTTTCTTCTCGAACAAAATGGAGTCAATCATTGACTGCCTGTACCTGTCACTCGAAAACAAACTACTGCTATACAAGTGTATTTTAAAATCGATCTGAAGGTACGGAATCCAACTATGGGGTACAGCCGCAAATTCTAATAAAGAAGTACTCCAGAGGTTCCAGTCCAAAATACTCAGGATAATTATAATTAATTTACCTTTAAAATCAGAACGGCCCAAGAAGAGGTAAAACAGTCTATGATATTATCATATACAAAAAGGCTAAACAATCATACAAACATTCTAGCAATGCATTTAATGAATATGAACTCAACATTTTAAAGGCTAAAACTAAAAGCTCCTGAAGATCTGTAAGGAATGCATTGTAAAGAGCCACGTCACTAGACTGGTGATTCTACAAGTCTATCTCTACATCATCTCTTGACCATTTGCTGAATGTTCGGTAGAAAAAGATTGCAGGATAATAATTATAAAAAATATATCTGTGCTAATATGAAGCCCTTCTTCCTTTCTTTATTCTCAATTACACTCACAGTTCAACTGTATCAATATAAATAAAATATTATGATTTGTCATGTTGTTCCTAAAATTTTACACAGGAATAAATTTACTATGTACTGACATATTCTATTGCACAATAAGAAAAATCTAAAATCTTTTTCGAAGTTTCCTAACTTATAAAGTAAATACTACTACTTCTATAGGTCTAGGATATCTTAACTTCCAAACAAAGTAGGTACATTCATAATTATAACCTTTGATTTTTATCCCCACAACATAATATTACCAATTTTTTTCTGTGTATTTTTTTATCTGATATGAGCTGACAAATATAACTAGCAATAGAGTTGGTTTCGTTATAAATACATACCTGCTTCATAAATTAGAATATAACTTTGTAAAATACGTAACATACTACAAAAATGAATCCTTACAAAACCCTGGTGAACATGTCTGAAATATATGTATAAGTGGTAGAAAATTATACTTTCACTTTAAAATAATATTGTTTATAGGTATATGTACATCCAACAATTTTTCAAAGTCAGTCAGTAGTTTGCAGTACCTACTAAGTATAAATACTGCATGATGGTGCTGCAAACTGAGAAATTTTCAGCTAGGTAACATGTAGCGAGTTTGATTCGTCGTCGTCGTGACAAATTAGTGATGGATTTTCCCATAAAAAAGTCATCATTAACTTGCAGTCAGTTTTTATGTAACTAGTCAGAACTTAAAAAGTTCGATTAAGGTTATTGATGTTATACTATACCATTGCAAAACTGAATATAACAATTTGTTTACAGAACAATTCTGAGTTAGAAAGGGATCGCAAACGTCGGCTCTACATGGATGTAACTCGTCGAGGACCTCATGCATTTGCCCATCTGGTAGACGCTTTAGGAGAACTAGGATATTGGGACTTGGTGCGCGATCTGGACCCTGATAGTCCATTCTCTTTCTCAAGCCAACAAAGATTTAACCCCATTCCCCGTAAGTTCTCCGATGAAAATACCTCAAAATCTGTTGAAAAAGGATTCCGAATATTTGTTATAATGATGAACAATACTTCCAGAACCTACAACCCGAACAAGAACAGCAGACAATGATAACTTTCACAGTCTCAGCACATCAAACAGGCCCCGGGCAGAACCCAATAGAAGTAAGTATTCGAAGTCATCTTTGTGAAGTGTAAGCTAAAAACCGCTTAATTTATTGTAAAAAATCCTCTCGGGGAGAAAATGAGTCTTTTATACTTTTGCTCCACAAAAAAAAGTTTTCTTATGTGACGTAGCCGCCTTTACAAACATACAGTTTCACATAATAATATGCATGATAACCCCACCCGGAACAATAGGTTATTTAATAACATGTACTACTGAAATGTATCTTAACACATTCAGTGCCCCCGACGCGTATGTGCGTGCGAGGAAACGCACATACGCGTCGGGGGCACTGAATGTGTTAAATAAACTCTCTAATCCTAATATACCTCTAAAAATACAAAATATTTTTACGAATTATATCTACAAATTATTTTTATTTAACAAAAGATTTACTTTTGAAAATTATTTTATCATAATGTTACGTGCCTGACGTCACGTTCCTGACTATGCGGGCTTGGGTTACGGGATTGGATGAAATGAAACACTAATACCGGTTTTCAGACTTTCTATTGCACTTAAGTTACAGCGTCCACGGAGTTAAGTTATCGGCGTTCCTCTCCAGCAGAGTCCGGCCGACTGACACAACTTTGCCGTTCACGCTGACTTAACTCACTTAACTGACTGCACTTCACTATTTCACTGCACTTCACTATTTCACTCACTTTTCTTCTTTCTCACTTCTTCCTTTTCTTCCGAATCGCTTTAGACTTAGAACTCAACTGCCAGCGGTGAGCCGCAGTTCCGGTTATATACCCCCGGTCAGGTTCTAGAACATTCAATTTCGTTATTCTTTTTGATCGTCATGCCTCCAGAACCTTCCAATAATTTCGTTATTCATTTTTATTTATTCTCCTTCTCGCTCCTTAATTTTTCATTACTTTCACTCAAATATTCCAGAAAGTTCGACAAAACTTCCATCAACTAAAAAACTTCATGTTTACGGCGGGACTCGAACTCGGGGTCTCTGTGGTGTAATCCACACGCCTTACCGATTACACCAACTCGTGTTGACAATTCACGACGAAATTTACAATCTCTAGGCAACGTTTGACAACCATCCATTGACGTCATGATGTCAAAGAGTTTTCTGTCACACTGCCCCCCTCTTAGATTCGCTCGTCCCGAGCATCGTTGCTGCCGTAATACCTCGCCAACCTGTCTATATGGACAACTTTCAAAGGGCTCCTTGAAGACTTCCGAATTCTGTAAGTAATGTCATTGATCTTCGTGACTATCTCGTAAGGACCTTCCCAACTCGGTTGCAGCTTTGGAGATTTTCCCTTCCTTCTGACTGGATTATGAAGCCAGACCAATGACCCCTCTTCAAACCCAACAGAATTGGCTCGTCGATCATAGCGCGTCTTTGCGCGATCACTAGCTTGAAGACCGGCCTCCCTGATCTGCTCATAAATGTCCAACATTTTTGCCCTTAACTCGCTTATGTAATCGCTAAACTCGGTGCGAGAGTCACCAGGTGGACAGCCCGATACAAGATCTGCCGGTAATCTCAATTCCCTTCCAAAATTTGCAAATGCAGGCGTCTTTGCGGTACTTTCATGTACAGCAGTCCGATAGGCAAGCAAGAAGAGAGGTATGTAAGTGTCCCAATCTCTCTGATGGCTGTCAACCACCTTTGCTAAGTGTCGCTCCAATGTTTGGTTGAAGCGTTCGACCATTCCATCTGACTGTGGATGATAAGGGGTCGTTCGAGTCTTATGGATTCCCAAAAGTTTACAAGTTTCCTGGAAAACTTGGGATTCAAAGTTCCGTCCTTGATCACTGTGCATCTCCAAGGGCACTCCGAATCGGGTGAATACCTCGTTTACCAACTTCGTGGCTACAGTTACTGCCTCTTGATTCGGTATGGCAAAGACCTCCGGCCATTTTGTAAAATAATCCATAACCACTAAAACGTAGCGATTGCCCGAATCAGTGATTGGAAATGGTCCAGCGATGTCTAAGGCTATTCTCTCCCAAGGCATACCAACATTGTAGATTTTCATCGCCCCTCTGCTTCTTGTTTGTGGACCCTTGACAGCTGCACAACTAGTGCATTTCCGGCACCAATCTTCGACGTCATATTTGCAATGCAACCAATAAAACCTCTCCTTGATCTTCACCAAAGTCCTCCTAATTCCCAAATGTCCTCCAGAAGATCCATCATGGAACGCTTTTAATACATCCCTTATTTTTGAACGAGGCACCACCAATTGCAAATGCTCGTCCTTGCCGTTTGTTGATTCCCATTTCCTGCACAGAAGTCCGTTATGCAGCGTAAGGCTTTTCCACTGTGCCCATAAACCTTTCGTTACCGCGCTATATTGGGCGACGTCACTCCAACTTGGCTTGTTACCACTTCGTACCCACTCCAGTATTGGTTTAATATCTGCATCTCTTTCCTGTTCTAATTTCATCGCATCATCTCCCCATGCCTCGTCAACAGTATCAGTCCTTATCACCTTAAGAAAAGCAGTTTCCTTCTTGGCACAATGCTTGCAATCTTCCACGCATGGGCGTCTCGATAATGCATCTGCGTTGCCATGAATTCTTCCTCCGCGATGTTCGATATCAAAGTCAAATTCCTGAAGTTGTTCCAACCATCTGGCTACTTGGCCTTCGGGATCCTTAAACTGAAGCAGCCATTTCAAAGCAGCGTGATCAGTTCTGATCAAAAATTTCCGTCCCAGTAAATACTTCTTGAAATGGTGCAGAGTTTTGACTACGGCCAGCAATTCCCTCCTGGTCACGCAATAATTCCTCTCCGGCTTGGATAGTGACTTGCTGAAGTAAGCAATAACCTTCTCCTGCTCACCATCGCGTTGTGAAAGGACACCTCCTATTCCAATATTGCTGGCATCCGTATCAACTACGAATATTCCTTTCGCGCTGGGGTATCCGAGAATTGGTGTGTTACAAAGCCGTTCTTTTAGTTCTCGAAAGGCTTGCTCACAATCCTCGTCCCAGATAAAGGCACGTTTCTCCTCTGTCAATCGATGCAATGGCTTGGCAATGTCCGAGAATCCTTTCACAAACCGCCGATAATACGAGCACAATCCAAGAAATGCCCGAACTTGCGTTTTGTCTTTAGGTGTTGGCCATTCCTTAACAGCGACAGTCTTGGCTGGATCAGTCTCAATTCCTCTCTCAGAAATAACATGTCCTAGATAATTCACTTCGCGCTTGAAGAAAGAGCATTTTTTTGGACTCAACTTTAAATTTGCTCCACGCAGCTTGTCGAGTACCTTTTCCAATTTCCTTAGATGATCGTCAAAATCCCGTCCAACAATGATGATGTCATCGAGGTAAACTAGGCAGGTTTCGCCCAGCAGTCCCACCAGCACCTGTTCCATCAAACGCTCAAAGGTTGCCGGTGCATTGCATAATCCAAATGGCATCACCTTAAATTGCCAGAGTCCCTTCCCAGTTGAGAATGCGGTCTTTTCCTTGTCCTTGGGATCCAAATCCACCTGCCAATAGCCGCTTTTCAGATCGAGCGTTGAAAACCATTTCATGCCACTCAGTGTGTCAAGTGTGTCATCGATTCTTGGTAACGGGTAGCTATCCTTCTTGGTTACATCATTCAATCGTCGATAGTCTACGCAAAACCTCGTTGAACCATCTTTCTTCTTGACAAGCACGACAGGTGAACACCAAGGGCTAGAAGAGGGCTCTATCAGGTCATTTTTCCTCATATCGTCAATCATTTCTTCAACCTCTTTCTCACGAGCGAATGGTATACGTCTGGGCCTTTGACGAATTGGCATTGTATCACCTGTGTTTATTTTATGCTTCACCAAACCAGTTCGGCCAATATCACCATCGCTTCTTGAAAACACATCAGAGAATCGAAGAAGTAAATTTCTAGCTTTCATAGTCTCCACTTTTGTCAGACTTTTGTTTTCGTCTAATCCCGTACTGTCCTTCTTCACAAGATTTTCCGAGCATTTTCTTATCCAGGCCACTTCTTCCAATACGCCCACAGGCTCTCCTTCTTCAATCGTAATTTCTGAATCACTGAAGTTGAATACCGGAATGCGGTTAACATCAGATGACCCCACGACAGTTCTTGCCGGTAGCCATGAGTTTACGTGTTCCGATTTATCAATCACAGCGCACCTTCGAGGTAAACTTCCTTCCCTCCTCCTAGGTAATGCAATTGGTACGAGAGTCTGTGATTTTGGTGCAAGAACAGTTCTTCTTAAACAGCAAACTTTTCCCAGGGTTCCACCCTTCATCGGAATTTCCTCAGTTCCACATAGTAATACTCCAGATTTTAGGTCGATGTTACACTGGTGCCCTTGCAGGAAGTCAAGTCCCAGGATGCAGTCATCCAGAATTTTGGCCACAATAACCTCATGTCGATAAACACGTTCCCCAATTTTGATTGTTACATGCAGTTTTCCACTTATCGGTATGCACTGGCCGGTAGCTGATTTCATTTGTAGGCCAACAATTGGTTTAAGGTGTTTCCTGATGTTGTGCTCGAGCAGCCGAACATTTATCACCGTCCTTGAAGCTCCAGTATCTAATGTTAGCTGACTGTTTTTCCCATTTACTTGACCGTCTATCACCAGAGTATTTCCATCGTTGGTTTGCTTGATGTAGATTGTTGGGGTTGTTCCACTACCAGCCGGCGCCCACCCCGCAGCCCTGGCTGGATTTAAGTTTCCCTGCTGGTCAGAAGTTGAGACCGCCGCGTCCTTGCGGTTCATCTTCTTCGGGCAGTCGCTCCGTATGTGCCCACGCTCTCCACATCCATAGCACATGAAGTTCCGACGGCGTGGAGGTACCTGCTCCGTTGTCGTCATTTCCCGCAGACGTAAGGTACGGGAGTTGCCACGCACGGCTTCCACTTCCAATGCATGGGCCAGAGCTTCTTTCATGATCTTGTGATGGCCCAGATGAACAGCAGCTCGTACTTCTGGGTCCCGAATACCGTCAATGAACGCTTGGAGAAGCGTGCCTTCAATCATTGACGGAGTCGACCGGAAAGCTCGACGTACAAGTTTCTCGATTTCCACGGACCATTGCTGTAGGCTCTCATTAGCACGCTGAGTACGCTCTTTTAATTGCGCTCTGTACACGTGCTCGAGGTGGCTGTCTCCAAAACGTGCTTCAAGTGCGTCGAGGAGGGCACTAAAGCTGAGATCCCCACTTGCGCCGATAGCTTCCAGCACTGAGAGCGCTTGATCACGGAGGGCCAGGGTAAGGGCTGACTGTGCTTCCTTCTGAGTCCAACCATAAGCCTCCATAAGTGTCTCAAACTGTAGCTTGAACGCAGTCCAGGATGTTGTTCCGTCGTAATGGGGAATCTTGAGCCCTTTCGTTGCGCTTAAGGCCGCATTTGGGGCGTCAAAAACGGCTGCAAGACGGCTTCGGCTCTTCAAAGGGCTTGGGTTTGTCACTTCCTGCTTGATTTTGGAGATCTCTTCTTCCAGTCTCTCCTCTATCGCCATGACGCGAAGTTTCAACTTGCCTAACCCTTCCTCCACTTCTTGTACCCGTTCGACAGCCTTTTGCAGTCCCTTCGTGAAATCTTTATGCATGTCCTCCAAGCGACGCGCTTGCTCCTCTTGGCGACGAGCTTGATCTTCTTTCAGCTCCCGCAGCTGTTCTGACTGACAGCGTGCTTGCTCTTCTTGGCGGCGCGCTTGCTCTTCTTGGCGGCGCGCTTGCTCTTCTTGGCGGCGCGCTTGCTCTTCTTGGCGGCGCGCTTGCTCTTCTTGGCGGCGCGCTTGATCTTCTTTCAGCTCCCGCAGCTGTTCTGCCTGACAGCGTGCTTGCTCTTCTTGGCGGCGCGCTTGATCTTCTTTCAGCTCACGCAGCTGTTCTGCCATCATTTGCCGCAGCTGTAGCAGAAGATCCATCTGCACAGGCTTGGCTTCTGCATCGCTGGTCTGAGCTGCAGCACCCTCTTCCCTCACACGCTGCGCTTCTGACACAGCACGGGTACTCACTCCTCTTACGTCCTGCGGCACTAGCGGCATTTTTCTCCAATCCCACTTCTGACACCAAATGTTACGTGCCTGACGTCACGTTCCTGACTATGCGGGCTTGGGTTACGGGATTGGATGAAATGAAACACTAATACCGGTTTTCAGACTTTCTATTGCACTTAAGTTACAGCGTCCACGGAGTTAAGTTATCGGCGTTCCTCTCCAGCAGAGTCCGGCCGACTGACACAACTTTGCCGTTCACGCTGACTTAACTCACTTAACTGACTGCACTTCACTATTTCACTGCACTTCACTATTTCACTCACTTTTCTTCTTTCTCACTTCTTCCTTTTCTTCCGAATCGCTTTAGACTTAGAACTCAACTGCCAGCGGTGAGCCGCAGTTCCGGTTATATACCCCCGGTCAGGTTCTAGAACATTCAATTTCGTTATTCTTTTTGATCGTCATGCCTCCAGAACCTTCCAATAATTTCGTTATTCATTTTTATTTATTCTCCTTCTCGCTCCTTAATTTTTCATTACTTTCACTCAAATATTCCAGAAAGTTCGACAAAACTTCCATCAACTAAAAAACTTCATGTTTACGGCGGGACTCGAACTCGGGGTCTCTGTGGTGTAATCCACACGCCTTACCGATTACACCAACTCGTGTTGACAATTCACGACGAAATTTACAATCTCTAGGCAACGTTTGACAACCATCCATTGACGTCATGATGTCAAAGAGTTTTCTGTCACAATAATTTTAAATTTCTCGCGTATTCCATAAAACGCGGCAGACAGAGGATGCCATTATTGTTTTTTGGTCATAACGTTATTGCGTGAGTAAACTATTGCTGTTTCGCATATGTTTTGTAGACAGCACGCAGTTACAGTCAGCACCGCCGCCGCCTCCGCCTGCCGTTGACAATGACAACTCGCCCGAGAAGGTCACTGCGCCGCCATTTATTGTCAAGAAAAGCACAAAATTTATGGAAGATGATGACACTAAAGGTAAATATGAATTTTAATTATTATAAAACAAAGATTGGTTTTATGTCACTTTTATGCACAAAGTGTAAACAAAAGGCGTTTCCGCTTGCGCTATGTAAAGGCTATCTCACTTGAGTCTTTTGCTCTCATCACAGATCTGAAGCTGTACAGAACTCGCGGCCGCAACCGTGGCATCTTGCTCGACTTCACGTACACAGAGTTTGACAACAATATCGAAGAGTTCCGCAATGGCGTCGACGTCGATTGCAACAACCTCAAATACCTGTTTGACGAACTTGGCTTCCGTAGGCTGGGATACCTCAACCTTACCAAAACAGTAAGTAAGACAATTGAGTATTTTCCAATAATACTTACAATGATTTAGTAACTTTTCATATTTCGTTCGTTCATTTGACGATACAAATGCGTGATTACTTCTCAAATACCGTATTAAATGTTATTGTTGTATTATATATTTGTGTGCTTGTTTAGAACCTATGTTAACACTTCTCTGCATCACCCGTGAGGTTGACTGGTAGAGAATGCCTTCGGGTATTAAGTCCGCCTTTGTATGTATTTTTTTTATATGTACATAAAGTGTTAAATAAATAAATAAATAAATAAATATATATATACATATCTTCGACCCATTCAAGTTATGTAGAACCTAGCTGCTGCGTACAACTTGAACTGATCGGGTCCTCTGTAGAGGTAGATACAATCTGATTATGGGTAGGCTCCTCCAAATGATTACACATCTCAAGTATTATTTTGGAGGGCCATGCATGATCTCTGCTCTGGACTGATGAATCTGAATGTTATCGCCAGGAGACGATGGAGACGCTAAAGTCTCTGAACAACGTGTTAGTGAACATAGAGAGCGTGTTCATCGTGGTGTCGTCGCACGGGTACGAGCGGCCGCACTCGTCCGACACCGACGTGCGCTGCAAGGACGGCCAGCTCATCTCGCTGTACGACATCATGACCTACTTCAACAACCGCAACATGCCCGCTCTCATCGGGGTCCCCAAAGTGTTCATCTTCCAAATGTGCAGGTTACTGACTCTCCAGCTCGTACGCTGCCATCTGCGTAGAGCAGTGTACTGTTGTTGTAACACACAGTCTTAATGCACAGAGGCAGCAGCGCGGACTACGCGTGGCAAAGCAGCAGTGCGCACGCGCCGGCGCAGATGCCGATGCCGGCCGGCGACGTGGTGTACGACGGCCAGCCCATGGCGCCCGCCAGCGCCGCCACCTCCGCGCTGCACCTGTACGACCGGCCGCGCCAGACGCCGCTCTACTCCGACATACTCATCGCGCACTCCACGCTGCCCGGTCAGTGCCGCTGCCTTACAATTCTGTTTCCTTCTCTTGCTCTAAGAAGATGATAGAAGTTTTGCGTTCGGTACTTATATTAAGGAACATTTGACAGGGCTCGTGGCGCACCGTGACGGCAAGCTCGGGTCGTGGTACATCCAAGCACTGTGCGAGGTGTTCGCTGCGCGTGCGCACGACTGTCACGTGGAGAAACTGTTCACGTTAGTTGACAAGCGCATGCAGGACAAATTCAAGGTGCAGACCTCCTCGGTGGACCGCTGGGGCTTCAACAAGAGACTGTATCTGCACCCTGGCCTCTACGAGTAATGAGCTGGTACATTAGGTACGCAGCGTCTGGGTTGTTTCACAGCAATTTGACTGATATGTCTTCCACAGAGATAGATTTTAAACGTATTAATGCTTCTATTTTCTTTTGTAAAAAGCCAATAAATTTAAACAAAAATCCTCACTTTATCAGAGGAGGAGAAGGAGAGGTCTGACATAATTATATGTGATTATTATTAATGATATATTAATCTACTTTTTTATAAATATGGGCATGTGATACTACACCAGTAACTAGTAAATACTAGTAGGTAATAGTCGTAGAATCAATCCAGCTATCATATTTTAGGATAGATGAATAGTGCCAAATATGCAGTTTGTAAAATACCTAATATCCATTGCCTCAATTAAGTTCTTTTAAATTGTGTTGCCTAACTATTGTATTATTTTAGCAATTAACACTGCTTTACGCGTTTTGCTCAATTATTTATATATTTACGATAATAAATCTCCGGATTTTTTCTATTTCCGAGTAATATTCCATGACAAATGAACTTCTATAAATCGACTTTGGAACAAACTCCAGCCTGGTAATTCAGTATATGTGCCTCATTCGCATTTATTTTATAGCATTTACAAGCTAATTCTCTTTTACTTTAAATTTTACCTCGAGAGTTATTTAATATTTGTCATTTCTGATGAGGTCATTAGTAGTAGTGTTATTTATAAGCAACCAATTGTGATAAGCGTAGTCGACGCCAGTCCTATGAATTTACTGGCAATATATTTCCTCGAGTACATAAGCTGACTTACTCGTTAGTGATAAGATACATTTTATTATATAATTATATTTTTTTAAAAATAAAACGTAATATTTTCATTGCTGATAGTTTTAATACACCACATCACATACAAAAATAGATAGAAATATTGATAGCACTAGAGCGATATTGTTTCAACCCTTTGCCAATGCTATTACGTCGCTGACAAGTTTGTATAAAATATATATTTATATACATATCAAGTGTTGTAATGGACTGATCTTTTTCTAGTTTTTTATTGAATATAACATTGAAAACTGTTCGTTATGTAGAATTACTAAGTTAGTTGATCATTATTGATCAACTATAGACAATAGATTTCTTACAACAAATGATAACATTTTAAAATGGCTATGTTTCAAGCATTGTATACTTTCAAGTTAAGACGAGTTCAAAATACTGCGCAGCGACGACGCATCTTATAGTTTAAGTCCCACAGCCATAAAAAGCGTCATCGTTCAGTACGATCGGTTCGTTTGAACGATGCGAAAATGTGCTGCGGTCGATTACGATACGTAGTACAGTGTGGTTGATTTTTATGACGTGTCATCGGTACGCCGCATTGTATACTCGCCCTTAGTCTTAGTTCATGCTGTGTCTGCCATTTTGATGTTTTACGTTTTTCTCATTTGTTTTGAGACACAAGTCTTTAGCGATGGAAGAATAGAAGTATAGCTATTTATTTAAAAACGTTAAAATTGCTCACCGGACATTTTACAACGCAATTCCAAAATTGATATTTTTATTTTTAGATCCAAAAACAAAACTAAATCGTGAACAAATAATTGAACAATGGCTTAACGTTAAGCCTATCTTTTAAAAAATAGTTATTTTAACAAGTTATTAAGCTTAAAAGTTGGAGTAATTGTTAATAAATTAATTAAAACATGATCAGCACTAGTAGTAATAAAAGAACTTCTCAGTAAATCCACGTGAGAAAGGAGAAATTTTAAATATATATACAATGTCTCACGATAGTTATCATTTAAAATAATTACTTATATTAACATTGTAGTTGTTGTAAATTGTCCTGTGAACACGGCGTCATTCATTGTCCATAATTTATCAGCCTTTTTGGTGTCGGTCTGGCGGTCTACCGGTCGGACACAGTGGCCACGAGCGCGCCCAGCTTGCTGAGGTTGAGGCCCTGCCGCAGACAGTTCGGCGCCGCCCCGCAGCTCCGATGCGGTGTGGAACCACCTACGTCGCGCGCAACTAATTCGCTTAATGAGCTGAGTTTGTCCAGCCAACGCTGCATCGGGTTTACGAGAGAGCTCTGATACAACCAATTGAGTACAGATGTCGTCGACCACCACGGCTCCAAGGTCTTCCAGTCGTACACTACGATCGCGTCATACCAGTTCCTCTTGCTCGTCGTACTATCTTGATACTTGGTCCACTTTGTGCAACACTTTAAGCTGTCAGAAACAGTCTCTTCAGAGAGAATATGTAATGTGGACTGGTCTAGAGTTGCATTGTTGTTGTATGAGGTCAGATCCGAATGCAAACTGTGCGTTATAATATTTGTATCAAGCGCGTCGAGGGCGGTTAGGGGTGCAAGTGGAGTGCGCGTGGCCATGTAATGTAGAGCGGGCAGCCAGGCATGCGACATGACTAGCGTGGACGTGAGGAAGGCCACGAGGCTGGTCAGGTAGGCCAGTGCCAGGGACGCGCAGGCTGCGCCTAACCCGCGGGCCAGCGACGGCAGCAGAGCTGCGTCACTGGCAGCCACCAGGTCGCTGTACGTGAAGAACCCTCGCAGCTGAGCCTGCTTCAGCGCCACTTGCCGTTCCAACCACATCAATCCTGCTTCAAATGATTTTTCACTCACGAATACGTTCCAATCCTGTTAATGTGAAAAATAAATAGATATCATATTTTTGACCATGTGTATTTTTAAAACAATGATTTTGGAAATGTGATTAAGTACTAACTATTGCATTGAGGAATTCAACTTCAAGCTTTTTCAGCTGGTTCAGCTCTAAACCACCAGAGGCAGCCCACTCAGAGCATACCACATCGTCGTCTTCTCCATCATCTTGCAAAAACTTGTTACCTACCATCTAAAAATATAAGTTCATTTAATAATGCTTATAATGGTAAAAAGATATTTTAAATACATGTTTTTATTTACAATCCCAATTATACCAGGGAAACAAGGAAGAGATCAGCAGGCGCAGCAGCGGCGATGTAATCAGGATTGCAAGCATTCAATCGTTCTAGGTAGAGGATGGCCAGCACGAGCGCGCAGGGCGACACACACGCGCTGCGCGCGATGCCGGCCGCCGCGTCCGCGTGCAGGCGCCGGAGCGACCGCCCGCGCTGGGACACTGACCACAGCTCACACGAAATCTCTGCCAATTCAAACACATTATTACGACAAACTTCGAATTACTTACAATTGAAAATAATTAGGGCCAACATTATAACACTTTACATGCGCAATTTGTAAATCAATTACACCAAATATGACTGCAATTTTCTGCGCGTTCAGTACAATAACGCATTTAGGGTTTGTTTGTTGGGCTCCCGTGGCGGTGCAGTGCCTCCGGCATATTCGCCGACCACAGCATGGACGGCTTCCAAGTGGTACTTCGCAAAAGAACGGTCTCACTGTGGCATGATAAATGGTAGCACCAACGCACAATGCAAAATGCACATGGAATGCAAATAAAATTTAAAATTGGTTTAGTAGTTTAGGAGTCCATCGCAGACAAACATGTGACACAAAATTTTTATATATAAAGATTGAGTGTGATTAAGACATGACAGTGTAAGTGCACCTTACCTGTAACTGGTAGACTTAGACAGGGTAAAGTGGGTAATTGGCCATAGTATAGTGTCTTAGTGATGCGCTTCAGGAACTCCTTGTGGTCACCCATGCTCTGAGGGTAAAATTATTATCATTTGGTTGGTTTGTTCTTATGATATATTTTACAGTCCTTCCAAAGCATAACAAGTAACTTTGAGTTTGACAAAATTCTTAAAATATTATAAATGTAAAGGTTTGTGAGAATTTATGGATAATTTTGTTATTTTTTAACACAACTAGACCAATTTGTTTTAAAATTTGGTAAGTATTTAGCGAGGTAGTTGTTAATATTTTAGTGGTGCCAATATATTATGTAAATATCATTTTACAGATTTTGCACTGACAGAGAGATATGAAACTAAATATTAATGCAATTTATTCAAGTCAAGTATTTAATGGAGCTTCCATTGTAGGTAAACAAAGTTATATGTTCAATACAAAATAATTATATGAAATAACCTTGGTGTCAGTTTGTCATTATCATGTGATGTCACACATGATAACAACTTTATGTGAATTCTTAACAACTTGTTTTATATTTGTGCTATAGGTACCTACTTATTTTGCACATTGGCACTCTATTATTATCCCAATGTGCAAAATAAGTAAATATAGCTTTACATGGTCACAAACAAGTTGTAGAATGAAAAGAATATTTTTACATCATGCTTTTAAAGTTGTGATGACATGTTTTTTTTTTAACTCACGATACTGAGTTCAAAGCTAATACTGTAGAGCCCTTGATAAATTAAATTAAATTAACGAATAAAACATTTAGCTCTTAACAGAAATACCACGCTGTCGAAGGCGCCGTTCAACTTTGTGATTCAGTGGGTCACGACGTGACCTCCTTCCATACCTTGATCTTGGTTCTGGATCCCTCTTTTCTTCTTTTCGATACATTCGACATATTGTCAGCTATACTAACTGCTAATTTATATATATAAATAATACAATACAATTATTATAACGTCAATTTATACCACCGGATTCTTCCGAGTGAAGAACCCTTTTTTGTTTGCTATTACAAAGAATCAACACGTTGAGGTTTAGAAAGCATAACACAAAAACATAATTATATTGTTGTTTTTCATGGAATATCAACAAGAATTGGTAAGTAAGACAGAGATGCTAGATAACACTAATATGCGCAACAATTATAATAAAAACAAACTAGGAACGTTGTAGCTTGACATTGACACTGACAGTTTTAGACAAATGTCAGTTAATTTTGAAGTTTCAAGACAATGATTGAGATAGAAATGTCAATGTGAATATGGCATTGTTTTTTTTTTGAAGTTTATGGGCTGGATACAAGTTCTTTAAGCCAAAATGGCATTATTAATTTAATGAGGGCACAGAGTAGGTACATTAATTGTTGAAGTGTCATTCGATTGTCAGTGTCTGTGAATCTATGATACTAATATTATAAAGAGGTAAAATTTGTAAGTTTGTATGTAGGGGGTAATCTTTGGTCTAGTCGGATTGCCAAAATTCTTTCACTGATAGATAGCTACAATGTTCCTGAATGCTACAGGCTATAAAACATCAAGCTACGATCAAATGGAGCCGAGTAGCGGTTAAAACCGCGCGAGAGTAGCTAGTGTCTACTATATTCGGCTATTTTGCGATTTCTTCTGTAATATTTCGAATCAAATCAAATCTATTTATTTTGCGAATGTGGGTACATGTAATCGTAAGAAGAACGCGGGAAGGAAGTGGAGCGGAGAAAAACGCTAAGCCGAAGTCAAGCCAAGCCACGTTAAAAAGTAATCAAAGTAATAAACTAGTGCGCCTTACCATCAACGATTGCATCACTGCTTACCATCAGGTGGGATCGCAGTCAAGCACTAGTTTATTGCAAGTAAAAAAAAAACAAGGTATACCAAAACTGTACCAATTGAATGTTAGAGTGAAAGCTAATGTATGTGTAGATACATACCATTAGCTTTTACTCTCCATTAATTTTCTTATTTTTGAGGACTATTTAGGACTCATATTAGCATTTTATTATAGGAAACAATGTTAGGTATTATTAAATAATAAAATATGTTTACCGAGTTTCTTTAAAAAGCTCTTTTGGCATAGAATATATAATTTATATTCATAACCTATTATTTCTATTACCTACTTGTTATGGAATTTAATTTAATTAAAATATACTCGTGAATACTATTTAATAACGCTCATGTGGTGAGGTGGTATGCTGAATAATTATTAATCCAATTTGCTCTAGAACAAAATTTTATTTTATATTTTATTTAAAAATACTGATAATAAATAAGATGACCTATGACTATCTGCATATAAAATTTGCTCATTCTTGTGGTACTTATAATGTACCTACTTTATTCTTCAATTTACTCTAGTCTTGTTTTAGTAATATTAGTTAGCACCGTTAGTCCGTTAGCGCGCGGTATGAACGCAACCTTTGGGAGCTTTCCGCTCTCTTCCCTCCCCTGAACTATTGGGTAGTGACAGATGTCAAACACGAATGTCAAATACCTAACAAAAGCAGTAAGATAGACAACTGGCCGAACGCTTCTATCCTCAAAAGAGATTGCTTCGAAAACATACGACAACATGAAATAATTAAACAGCGGCAACCGCGTAAATAATTTACTGCGTTCGCATCATAACTTTGTGATAACATTAGTATGCGCATCGATATAATATAACTGGGCGCGTGTGGGTTTGCGGTGACTCGTGTCATTGATATTGATTTCTTTTATTTTCTGAGAGAACAATTATAAAAATGATTTAGCCGGATCATGTGTGCTTTGGACCATTCGTTGAACGAGTGACTGTTAAAGAGCAGTTAATAACGAATAATATGTTTGGAGTCGAAAGCGGTATGTGATAATGTGCGGACAAAATGAAAACTAAGAGCTTTTTGCTGTTTTCGACGTCGGTATTTGCAATAAGTATATTTCTCATAGTGTTCCACTCGCAGCCTCCGCAGTCTATTCAAAGTATTGTCACGCAAACACATCAACATCTTAAGGATTTTCAGGTTTGTGATTATAATGTGTACACTAAAAACCGAATTTATTAAATTTAATATTATTATTAAAAAAAACATTATTATTTTGTTACTACGGCTGGTAAGAAATTTTAATTGCAATTTTACAAGTTTTATGTTTGTACACAATGCTTACATCAAATTACAAAAACATGATATTGTTTGTGTTTATTTAAGTCTCTTTCTCAATCTAACGAGGACCAGGAATTACATTGTTTTTTCTGTTTTATATTTCGTAATCAATTTCTCTTTTAGATTGTATGTTAATTAATTAATGGTTTGACTCCGTGATGCATATTACTATTACTACTACTATCCTCCAACTTTAGTTTATTGGTATCTTGACAAACTAGTAATGGCATTGCTGAAGTTTCAAAATGTCTTTAAAATGATAGTGAAAGTTTGTAATGTCATTGATATACTAAATTCATTTTTGGCTGTCTAGACTACAAGATGTTTAAGGAACATTTTAAACCTCTAAACAATCATTTGCAACAGTGATTTGAAAGGAAAACTCCTATTTCACCTCTAGTAAGTTTGTCAGGTTAACTGACTGAAATAAGGGAAGATTATAATAATTTTGTTGATTTGACTAATGCAAATTTATAACCCATAGTCAATTTATACCTACAAGAAGATTAGTAGTAACACTAGATTGAAAAAAAAAATATAGTTTAATAAATTGGTACATCTGACAGTAAAATAGTGATTTACCACGATACAGGCATCATTGTCCCAGCAGGAGAACTTGCGGGATGTGGAGGAAAACCACCTGGTGCAGGAGGAACAGTACTCTCGGCTGCTGGGGCTAGACGGCCACCAAGAGCTGTGGCACAACACCACACTGCCTGCCCTCGTGACTTACGCGCGCAACGACGCGCACGCTGAGGCTGTCAGCTTCATCCGTGCCGCTGCTAAGCTGCCCTACACAGTGCTCCTCTACAATCTAGGATTAAAGCCCTATTCATTGTCGGTGGTTAGTAGCTATTTTGATTGCATGTCCTATCTTGGCCTTAAACTAAAACCTTGGCTTAACTTTGGATCCTTAAGGTTGGTGTGGCGAACTAGTTTACGCTAGAAGTCGTCTAGCAATTGAAAGATCGAGATTTAAGAGCAATGATGACTTTCGTAACCAAAGTTTTTAGACTAGACTTAGGTTATTTAATATATTTTTTAACAGGTTTCCAACTACTGCAACTCTTCGAAATGTGCCATTATCGACCTGGATCTGGAAACCTTCCCGTCGCATGTAAGCGATGAGAGCATACACGCTGTACGCCCGCTCGTCATCCAGGTGAGCTGATCTACTGATTTCGTGTTGCTATCACAACTTATTGAAGTTCCCTTATCTCAGGACTTTCAACTAAGTTGTTGATAACGAATTCAAATTGAGATGACCAATATAATATTTTTGATAACAATTAGCCAATGCCCATAGTTTCTTTTCTAAATTCGCGAAACACCCTTAATGCATTTGTTTGTCTGGGACAAAAAATGAGATTCTTATCTTAATATACTTATATCCGTTATTTTTGTGGATGCAGTCGAAATCTCTGACGTATTCAACACTGAGTCCCATAATATAAGTGGTATCCCTTGTTTTATGCCTTACAGCATGTAGTTGACTTGGCAGCACAATAGTTGAATTAAACTCGACATGGATCTATTGTGTCGCTCAACTGATGATAAGGAAGCCCATTTGTTATCCATGCCTAAAAAGGGAAGTACCCCTAAATTGTCTATTGATATGTTTTCCGGTTTTGTTTTGTAGTATGTACTGGTCAAGGTTTAATCTGTCCTTTTCAGGTGCCCAGGCCATGTAAACAAATATTTCATTGTACCTAAGTAGGTACTCGATATTAAAAGTTTTCTCAAATGTTACTTCTTCTTAGCTTATTTTGGGAGGCGAAAGTCATTAGATGGCTCTTGAAATAGTGTCAGACACTTACGAAAAATCACCCTGTTCCAACTTCTAATCCGATCAAAGGCGGAAGTTACCTATTCCAAAAAAAACTACGTTATGTTTTATCAGGCATGGTTACTTTAATTAAAAAGCTAAAATGGCTATCGCAGTATTCGGTTGTAAAGACTCCAGCTCCACAGAATAAACTAGGGCCAAGTTGGCCATCGCTTTAAAGTAATTAAGTTTAATTTCTGTAAATTAATTAACCAAATAAGTTAATGCTGCTGCTTTTCTGTTAATTTCACTCGCGCGTCCATGAGGCACGTATGTTTTCATTATAACGTACGTAAGTAACGTGAACTCTGTGTCATCAGTACATTTGAAGTTTTTCTTTGGAATTGGATTACCTATCGTGCGTTCACTATCTTCTATTACCCTAAACAGTTTAAGTGACCGAATTAACTTTACTTAGACAGGTAGGCGTAATGTGATGTGATACAAACGACCAGGAACAATAATTCCACTAATTAACCGGTAGGTCAACTTTATTAGAACAAGGTTTTGTTAGATGAAGAGTTTGTTAGCAGAGGCTAAGGGTTAGATTAGTGCGGAGGGATCACTAATAAGGGTCACGGCCCGCAATACTTGAATGTTTTTTGTAAGCATTGATACTACATAGTCGAACTGCATTTCAGCTGCACTCCGACCGCAAAGCAGTTTTCTGCATCGACGTTCAGTGAACTGTTGTCTTGATATCGGTTTGCAGTCGCTTGAAGTGCACGCGTGCCGCTCGTGCCACTCGTCGCAGGGCACAGCCACAGCACAGCGTTTGTGGCGATAGCCGCTAGGTCACGCTAGGTATACTAGCGCAGCTACTTATGTGTCAACACACTCGACACTCCACCAGATAAGATAATAATGCACATATTCGCCGGTGCGCACTGTAACAAGATGGTGTAGGTGTTTGTTATCTGGGTTATTAGATATTGGTTGTAGGTGTAATATAGCCACTAATCTATGTTTGGACATGTTTCACTCAGTGCTATGTTGTTGGGTTTGGGTGACGGCACAATAATCATATCAGAAATTAATACATATAGTTATAAACCTCCTGATTAGTCCTGTCCTGATTCTCCTAGGAAGTTTCTCCTCCTTAGCATATCATAATTTAGTATCCTCTATACGTTTGTGCTTTGGACTTCTCACTATGATAACTGTCATGTCGATTACCAAATTCTTCATGGTAAAACAGAATATAGAATTAACGTGAACAAAAAGGATTTTTATCGATCCATGGTCCTCAGTAAATATTGGTTTAAATTTGCATCCGTCAGCAGTTAAAATACGTGCACGTTATCAGTAATGGTGGCATATACCTACTTAACGACAGTATCGACTTTCGCGTGATAGAGTCCATGTGTGTAGCGTGCCTAATTATGAATATCAGGGCTAGAGGCCTACTTACGTTACATTTTATCGTAACCACATTTAGACTCAAATAATGCTAAATTCGATTTGCGGATTGCGTAAATTTCAGGCTCTTTTTATTTACATAATTTTGCGATAACGCTAACGCTACCTTCTATAATGTATTGGATGAAACTTCCTATAGAATAAAATTTCGCCATGACAATCGTCTAGCTCGAATAACAGCTACAGAAGGTAACAGCAGTAAAACGACCCTGCGATTGAGCGTGACTGCGTCACGTTATATCTGTGCCGTGGTTTCTGTGTCTCCACTGTCTAGGTCATTCCACGCCGAAATAGATTTAATGACCAATATTTCACAAACACTATTTTTTTTGTCTGAAAACGCTTAGGTATATTAATAGTTACAGGAAGGTCAACGACATAAAAACGTCTAGGAAATATCAATCGGTATACTTTTCCAAAAAATATCATATAATGTGCTTGGGGAATGTAGGCGTGCAGTACTTACATATGTTAGAGACCATCTAATACTCAGCGAAAAGATAGAATTACAACCCGGAGACTGAATTAAATACGATACGTAGTAAGTGGCCCACCGCGGTCCAGCTCGTTTGTGCGTGAAAGCTTTAGACTTATATGTTTATTTCTAGTACTTACATTTACATTATTTGCTAAAATAGTTGTACGAAGTCATCTGTTTTTAGTGCCACGTCGAACCATCCAAACTCACACAAAATCCGATTTCATATACTCGAACCAGCACTGTAGGTATATTTCACATCCCAGTCGACCCAGTATCTACAGATAAGTAGTCCAAATTTCATGTGCATGTGGAGAGTATGGCTACTCCAGACGACCTTCGCCAATGACGCTTGGTCATAATGTACGCATATCACAAATGTAATATCATTATATCCGGCGCAATGTTTGGAATCATTACGCTTGTGATTTGTGTTCAAAGGAAAAATCTTATGAAAATTATTCTAAAAATAACTAGAGACTTCGGGTATGTGCGTAGTGCGTGATCTTGCATGCTGAGCTAAAGATTGTCTTTCCTGCAAATTTATAAAACTGTTTATAATTACGTTCAGATATACTTAAACGGCTGTTTTTAGGGCTCCGCTACGCTGATTTGCGGTTTTAAGATTTACAATAACTCTTAAGTGGGGATACTTGATATGACAGACGGGAAACAACGGAACCCTACACTAAGCGTGGCCCGATACGCGCTTAGCTGGTAACTAGTGTTTTGGAATCAGTTTCCTAAGGTCTGGTTAATAAAAAACTGTGTAGTTAAGTTAATAAAAACTGAATCGACACATCGACAATACTAAAACGGGCCCTAAGCCGTATCGAGTTACAAAAGCGAGGAATTTCTTATATAACCTTACAAAACTTGTCACCACACGCAACATTCGTGACATGTATGTACGGATGTAAGGACGTAACAGTTGTGGTTATGTTATTATATTGACGATACTCACGTGGCGATAAGTTCCATTTGCAAAAACCGGCAAAGTGCAAGTATAACTCGCCGTTCGGCCACGCGCACGGTGCGACGCACAAAGAGGCAGCAGGCCTTCACACATAGGGCTCACCAGGGCTCACTAATGTCCAGCCAGGCTTGCGGTCAGCGTGGCTCAGAATAGGAGAAGTTACGGGATTATTTTTATTCAGTATAGATAGAATAGATGACATATGTTTACGGTCGTGGTCACAAGCAGAAGGTATTCAAATAATAATTTTCCGCGTTAATACCCGCGTAAATACATAGTCTAGCCATAAATACTGTAACAAATAAAAAAATATTTTTTCTATTGCAAATAACATTTATTACTTTTACAGTATGTAAGTTTAATACATAAATATAAAACAATTTAAAACATAAAAAGCTTATATGAAGTGGACTCCATTGGCTGCAATACAGTCCTTTGAAACGTTGAGGCCAGTTATCAATAGAACCACGCACTCTTTCCATGGGAAAATTTTTCACTGCCAATCGTATGGATTCTTTTAGGGAGTCCAAATTATCATGACGTTTAGAGCAAGCCCTACTCTCTAAAACTGACCATAAATCAATCCAGCGTATTTAGATCGGGACTAGACGACGGCCAGTCTTCAGCCCTGATGAAGTCGGAAACGTTCGTTTCCAACCAAGACTGCGTGGACCGAGCTTTATGACCCGGCGCCGAGTCTTGCTGGAAGGACCATTGTTGGTTATTGAACATGGTGTTGTTAAGGGGTGTTAACTACCTTCTCAAGAATGGTATTTTGATACACTTGTGCCGATGTTTTGATACCTTTTTCGCAAGAGTATGGCTCAGTCACTCCTTCATAGCTAACACCCCACCAAACCATCACTGAAGTCGGATAATGCCCACGTTGCACTCTGTCGACTAATTGAGAAGCTTCCTTAGAGCTTTGAGCAGAAATACGGTCATTTTGTTTGTTAAAATGTTGCTCAATTGTAAAAATTTTCTCATCCGTAAACAAAATTTTTCTGTCACCTTCCTTAGCATACCGCTTCTTTTGCTTTCGGACAGGATTCCTTCGAATTCTTTCCCTTACTGCTTTGATCACCTTTTTCGTACGAACACTACGTGGACGGGCAGATCTTTTTCTGTCACAAACAGAGGAGGTCTCATTGTACCTATTAATAGCCCGGTACACAAACATTTGACTAATGCCAAGCGTGTGGAGAGTTTTAAAAAATGCATTTGGCTCCATACTCACTTTGTGTAATGCAATCACAGCGATTCGGTTCTCTTTATCACCCCACTCCATTTCAATATCGCAAAATATTGAACAATTTATTGGCGCCAAAATAAGAAAACACAATGAAAAATTATATAAAAATGACAGATTCCAAATTCAAATGTAATATTTTGTTTATTTTTAATTGTAACAGTATTTATGCCCAGAATATGTATATGTCATTAATATGAAACGCGAAAGTTTAA